ACCAAATGTGCAGATGTGCAGTGTGTTGTACATGATGGTGATCGTCCGAACTGAAAAACTCATTAGCACTGTTGACAACACACAACTCCACACTAATAGCTCACGCCCACACCGGTACCCAAAGGAGACAGAATATATGTATAAAGCTGGCAGCGGTAGTGGAAACAACATAATGTACGATTGTGTATTTAGTAAAAATCGGATTGGAGTATCATAGAAACATTGTGTATTGACCTATACGTGACGAAGAAACCCTGGCCAAGATAAACACGTATGGTACGAATCATGTATATCATAACGAAGACAAGGCAGCTTCCTGTTCCCGACAGGTGTGCCAAGACGTGCCATGTACGAGACGACTCAAATCGAACTGCGAGGCATGATTGGGTATCACAAGCGTATTGCCGGGTACATACATGAACGGGTGAAAATTGCGTGGGATCCAGAGAAGAAGCCGTCCGTCAGGACCTACAACCCATCCATCCTCGTTCGCAACAACAGAGGCGGGGGTAGAAGAGTCCTGGAGAAAGGAAGAGGCGGACTGAAGAGCGTAGGTTGGGTTAGATGAAAAGCATATCGCAGGCACTTTGGTAGGGTGGGGCTGGTTGAGGAATTCTATATCCCACACCCGGATGGTCTTGTCGTCTGAACCAGATACAATGCGCTTGCCGTCGGGTGAGATTGCGACAGACGAAACCGATTCAGTGTGGCCTTGGAAAGGGGCACCCAGTGCCTTTCCAGTTCTCATATCCCAAATCCGGATTGTCTTGTCGTATGAACCGGATACAATGTGGTGCCCATTTCGCGAGATCGAGACAGAGAGAACATAGTCAGTGTGCCCTTCAAGAGGGGCACCCAATGCCTGGCCAGTTTCAATATCCCATACGCGAACAGTAGTGTCATCTGAACCAGACACAACACATTTTGCATCCGGCGACACTGCAACAGAGCGAACCCAGTCAGAATGCCCTTTGAGAACGTCACCCATGGCCTCGCTAGTCTCCATGTCCCATACCCTGATCGTCTTGTCATATGAACCGGATACTATGCGATTTCTACCTGGCGAGATTGCGACGGATGGAATGTAGTCACTGTGAGCTTTGAGAGGAGCACCAAGTGCTTCGTGAGTGCGCATATCCCACACACGAATGGTGCGGTCGGATGAACTAGACACAACACGAGTTCCATCTGGCGAGAATACAGCAGAGTAGACATTGTCAGTGTGGCTTTGGAGAGGCGCACCCAAAACCTCGCCAGTCTCGATGTCCCACACCCAAATGCTCCTATCATCTGAACCAGATGCAATGCACTTGCCATCAGGCGAGATTGCAACTGACCGAACAGAATCAGTGTGCCCTTCGAGAGGGGCAATTAATGCCTTCCCAGTCTCTATATCCCACACACGAGCTGTCTTGTCATTTGAACCGGAGACAATGCGATGTCCATCGGGCGAGATTGCAACTGAGTTGATGGAGCCAGCGTGGCTTTGAGGGATAGCGACTGATGCCTTGCCCGTAAGAGTGTCGGCATCCCACACCCGAATCGTCTTGTCCCATGAACCGGAGACTATGCGACTTCCATCCAACGAGACTGCAACAGACCTGAATCGAGGCAGTGTGGCCTTGAAGAGAGGATCCTAACTACTGCACCAGTCTTAATATCCCACACCCGGATGGTTGTGTCACCTGAACCAGATATAATGTGTTTCCCGTCGTGCGAGATTGTAACCGAATAAACATAGCCAGTGTGCCCTCGAAGAGGGTCACCTACTGCCTTGCCAGTCTCGATATCCCACACCCTGATCGTCTTGTCATCTGAACCAGATACTATGCGATTTGCATCCGGCGAGATTGCGACGGACCGAACCCAGTCAGTGTGACCTTGGAGGATACTCGATGCCTTTCCAGTTGCTACATCCCACACCCGGACGGTCTTGTCACGTGAACCAGATATGATGTGTTTCCCGTCTTGCGATATTGCAACAGATAAAACATAGTGAGTGTGCCCTCGAAGAGGGTCGCCCACTTCCTTGCCATTCTCCATATCCCACATCCTGATTGTCTTGTCATCCGAACCAGATACTATGCAATTTCCATCCAGTGAGATTGCGACGGACTGAACACAGCCAGTGTGCCCTCGGAGGGTACTCAATGTCTTGCCGGTTGCTACATCCCACACACGGACTATTGTGTCCCATGAACCTGAAACAATGCGATGTCCATCCGGTGAGAATGCGATGGACTTAACCCTGCTAGTGTGGCCTTGAAGAGGGGCACGCCATGCCTCGCCAGTCTCTGTATCCCACACCTGGATCGTTCCATCGTCTAAACCACATGCAATGCGTTTTCTGTCTGGTGACATTGCAACCGAGGAAACAAAGTCATTCGCGTAGATTATCTTTTCCATCTGAGGCCAATTTTCGACATGGCCAGCGACAATGCGGGGGGTACAAGGAAACTTTGCAGCGAACTTGCGAAACATTTTCGACTGCGTAGGAGCGAACAGCAGGGCAGACAAGTATAAATGGGGAGTGCTGCGTATGATGGTGGCTGCGAAAGTGCGGACGAAACGCAGGGTGTCCTTGACCGCGTCACTAACTTGCGTAAACTCGGCTTGACCCTACGACCACCCCACCGCTCGTAAGAATTTGCCGGGAAAAGAATGAGATTCAGCTACGCACCAAAAACCAGTCTGCAATAGATGACAGGGTCACTGCCGAGCCACTGAGGCTTTTCATCAGAGCCAGTGCTTCCAACCACCAAAGAAGGCGCTCTCCATCGAAGAAAGCTTCGACTTCCTTAGCGAGTGATGATTCGAATGACGTAGAGGCGACATGAGTCCCCCAAAACCGACATGAGTATGATAGCTCAGCCGGGATGGATTTTTCGACTCGTTTTTCCAAATCAGGGACGGAAGAGTTGGGCAAGTACGAATTCTCTAAGGAGCAGATGTTGAAGCGAAGTCCGTGTTTCATGACCCGGAGTGAGGCAAAGGCGAGGTCGCTCTGTACCAACGATGTATCGATGAAGAAGTCGTCACTGCGCGATTTGTCTGTGAGGAAGTCGTAGAATGATGCGTGAAGGGGACGAATGGGGGTTTGAGATTCTGTTGCCCCAATCAACAGCGAACCGAGAGGCTCAATGACATTTGTCACTTTGTAACGAGTAGTCACGGGTGGAAAATGCAGTCGCACAGCTGCCAGCGCATCCATGGGAAGTGGTTCCAACGATGCGAGGACTTGCCCCATCACTGAGCGATACCAGGGGATCATGGCCTTAGGTATAATTTCTGCCAGGATGGCTTTATACATACTATCCAGTAGAGGCGTTCCTTCTGCAGATGCTCCAGCCAACACAGCTTCGAAGCGTTCCATCGGATCTGGGCCCATTTGGTTCCTACGCTTGATATGCTCACAGGCGAGACGAGCCCATTCAAACAGGCCATCGGATTTCTCAGCCAGCATCTTGAAGTGTCTAGTGTCAAATGTGCTGTGTGGGCCTTTCAGCATGGAGGAGATGTAGAGTTGGATGTCATGTTCCGTCGACTCGGCTTCATCTATAGGTTTAGGAAGAACATGCGGCGCGGTCTGCAGGACATCCCCGATATCTCTGAGCGGGCGGGAGGTGATGAGAATGCGGAGATTTGCTGGAAGTTGGGAGGATTGTGAGGAAGTGGTGTTCGGGTCGCCAGCAAGCAGACGCAGAATTTGTTCCCGGGATTTCTCGTCGCCGCTCTCGTCCAACGCATCAATAACTACCAGAACGGGTGCATTGAGATCTTTTGAGGCCTCGTTGATTGGTCCTACGACCAACTCCTGCCACTGTCTTGCGATGTCAGCGCTATGTCTAAGCTCATTACGATCATGAACCGCACGCGCCAACGCGCGCCGCATGGTAGGATGGCAGTCAGCCAAGTCACGAGCGATTGTAGTGAACATTTTCTCGTGCCGACGGTCTGCTACACGTGTACGATCGAAACAGAAACAGGCTCCCAGACCGCCTTGCTCATTTGACCAGTTGGCTATAGTATGAGCGATAGCCGATTTGCCCTTTCCTGCAGTGCCGTATAACCACAAGAGCTGAGGCACATTTTTCTCCGTGCTACAGACCCAGGATTGGATCTGGGACAGGATGCCTTCACGAGTACCCGGGAGACACCGTTTGGAGGTGTCGAAACTGGCAGCATCCGCATACACCATGCCGCTGAAGTCCAGATCGTCGACTAGGCCACGCATCATTAACATCATCGTACGTTCAAAGTGAATATAAGGTCAGCTCTTACCGGCACGATGAAGAGTGATCACAGTGTCACGAGCTAGATGACCTTGGAATTGCTGCATGAGATCGTCGAGGGCCTTGCTGTAACTCTGAATCTTGCTGTCTGTTTCACTGATAACGTGCTTGCCAAGTCTTTTCCCTATCGAAAAAGACAACGTCAAGATGAAGGAGACGAAGGAGTAAGATCGACTCACAGACACTCTTTGTCTCAGAGTAACGGTAGATGAAATCTGCGCACTCCAGTGTCTGTTGCGCTATTTTTCCGTATATCGCTAGCATAGATTCCATCTCGATCAACTCCTGCTTCTCCGTGATGAACGTATAGACTTCAGAGATCTTTGAGAGTAGACTGGAAACAGCAAGGTCACGGTCTGCCTGATGGAGAATCATCTGTAACCGAAACTTTGTCAATCTGCGACAGCAATAATCGAAAAAGAAGCTTACCTCGGATGCGGAAGTGAAGATACACAACGCCAACTTCGCGTAAGGATGGGCCTGGGTGTGAATGTTAGTGACGTACAGAAATGATATAGATGGTCGTACGTCTGCGATCACGTTGGCAACGGAGTTGAATGCCTTCAAAGGTTTAAGCAACGCGGAGAACGTGTCGATTTTATCAGAAACGGATGGTACGTCGTTGATCGCGGAAGACGCCTTTTGGAGTAATGCGGGGACCTGGCTCGTGCCTGCGAGACCTTTGTTAGCATTAGCGATTTTTTTCGTTTACATCCTTCGGGTCGGGATGTTCGGCCTGAGCATAGTAGACGTCAGCACTTCGTCGAGACGAATAAGACTATTCCGAACTTCGTTAGTCGAACTTATTTCTATGATGCCTGAATTGGAAGACTGCTCGCAATTCGGTTCGAGAGTGGGAAGGGTGAGATCCTGCAGAAGCGATTAGTACCAATCATGGCACACAGGGCACACTCAGAGTTGAAGTTACGCTTACCTTAGTTGACTGAACAGGTTGGGTGTCCTGTAGGCTGGAACTTGCAGCCGTGGGTTCAGGGTTGGGGGATTGTCGAGCGCTTCGAGCGAGGCGCTTGGTCACCTTGCCAAAGATCTTGCGCATTGACCCCATGAGTCGTCCACGAGATCCATTTCTCGAAGACGAGAGAGAGGACGGCTGTAATGATTAGAGATAATGTAGTTGTCAAGATAAAAGTTCATACATCGTAACTGGTTGCCCTCCCGCCTCTCTCCTCTGCCAAATGAGGGTCTGAATGACTTTGCTTCAGCCGCCTCCAAGGTTTCTTCCAAGTAGGGTTATTTTCATCCATCTAGTAAATGAGAAAGGTAAATGGATGTGCGTGTTGTGAGGTGTCTTGGTGCAATCGAACTAGGATGCGTGGTGGGTAACGAACAGATTCGACAAGCGCCTACATGACACATGTCTGCAATGACGTGGACCTGGAAGCGCCCGTTATCGATTGGCTGCTCAGCCTGGACTAATGATAGCAATCCTCGACAGCTGAAACAGGGAGTTGATCAAACAAAAGGCCACCAGGAAACCTCACCGTTGTTTCTGTGAATTAACTTGCAGGGGCAGCGTTGTTCGACAGGTGAAAGTACTTATTGGAACGATGTTCATCCAAGATTATCATCGCTCGTCATTCGGAATCGATGCAGTAACCAGTTGGCGCTTGGCACTTGCTGCCTTTCACTATTTGTGCATGTTTGAACTAGTAAGATCGCAATTCGAAGTTTGGATCGAGACGAGGACAAGCTCAGCGTGAGTGTTAGTTTGATTCAAATTCTACAGTTGCAATTTAGCCTCTATGACAAACTATCAACGCCCCGCGGGCCGAGGCGGACAGATATTGTTTTCATTTTTGGAATCTCCAACCGCGATACTATATCGAACTTCGCGCCGGCTTGATATAAGCAACCTTTGTAAGATTGGCACCAAGTTCGCCAAGAACATTTGTCATTTATTGGGCTTATACACGCTGAATATTACAACATTTAGGAGACGTAGAATTTTTGTGACTTCGAAGTAAGGCTCCTGGTGCAACAAGACTTGTGTTGAAATCAGTGCGTGCGAAGCGACGAGAAACGGAGATTATGTATTTGTGCAAGAGTAGAAGTAAGAAGTAAACGTGGCAAGTACTACACAAGTAGTCAACAAACCTCTAAGACCATGTTCCAGCACTTCAGCCAATACATGTGCACAGGGGGAGCTTCGAACTGATCCCGTCTATGCCCTTCCTTGATGGCCAGTTAGTAAATACATTGTTGTCTTGCCACAGGATCGTATGTAAGCCTGGTTGGATCTTGAAGCTGCAGCGAGCGCATCAGCGTATACTGCTGATAGGTCGGTGAGGGTTGATCGTTTGAAGTGCAAAATAGCATTTGCTATTGTGAGGATATCAGGGAGATGTGGGGGAGACGGTGGGCCAAAAAGGAAAGAATGTGCGTTGTGTTGGACGAGATGTGGTTGGAGAGGAGGTGAATGCGGGAACCTCTGGGAAGCTAGCTAGTAGCCATGTGCGTGAGCGGATGGCCGTGGTCGGCGGAGGTGCTGTTATGAAATCGTCCGTCGATATGTTGTCCGCTAGTGACTGCGAAGTTCGAGAATCGACACAGCCCCAGTTCTTCATCTTTTCGATATGCGTAAGGGCAGAAAATATCTGTAAGGGAAAGAGCGCATGTACTCACGGGTGACTGATGAGTGCATCAAAGGTCATTCAGCGCGCGCGCGAGTAACGAACACAGAATGCAGACACGCACCGTTCGATCCAACTATTCTACCCAGTACTTCCACTCAACTTTCAGACTGGTAGAACAGCCATACGCACGGACATCCGCGTCTATCAGGTCTTCAAAATCGTATAGAGTATCACGAAGTTCGATTATGCCATCGCATACGTCCCGTAGGAGGTGCTTGAAGGGACAACAATCTTGCGATGCTTGAAGGCACGTTTGATGGGCTTGATGTAGCGCGCAGGCCAGAGAGAGCAACTTGGGACGAGGACAGTTTGAAACACTTCGAGGGCCGTATGAACGTGTTGGGAGTCCTTGGTGAGCGGCCAGGAAGAAGACGTTCAGAAACGGATGTAGAATGAGGTTTTCGAGAGTCCTATAATTCCGAGGATCGTAAGACTTGATGAGATCGATGGTATCCGCAGGGAACTGATTTGCTGAAAGTGTTGAGAGGTGCACACGTGTTGCGAGAAGAGAAGAGGAACGAATTGACACACGTCGTAGCCAGAAAGACGCGACTTATGACATTGACAGTGCTGGCCGCGAGTTCGAATGTTGACAAGAATTAATTATCTTCGAAGTTCGCACACCTCAGCGTATGCTCCAAGCCTTGACGGGCGCCAGTAATACGCCTCCTAAAGATGTCGCTGGAACTTGCAGCCGTGAGTTCAGGGTTGGGGGCCGCCTCCAGCGTTCCTTCTAAGTAGGATTGTTTTCACCCATCTAGTAAGTGAGAAATGTGAGTGTCGGCGTGTCGTGAGGTGTCTTGGTGCAATCGAATCAGGATGCGTGGTGGGAATCGACGAGCGCCTACATATCTGCAATAACTTATAAGGATTATTAATGATGAACGTGGGCCTGGGAGCGCCTGTTATTGATTGGCAGCCTAGATAACTGATAGTAATCCTCGAAAGCTGAAGCAGGTAATTCATCAGGCAAAAGGCCACCAAGAAGCCTCAAGGCCTCACCTTTGAGCTTTGCGACGTCACTCTGATATCCAAAATGTGATTAGAAATGTCGCTGGCTAGTCTGCAGAATGATTCACGTTAGCTTATGCAAGCGCCCATACCGGACCGGATTTCAACACTGAACATCATGGAAGACCGGTCGAAAGCATCCACTCCCGCTGGTTTCTTAGGGTTGGGGTAACGCGCAGTACCGAATTCGAATATTGGAAGATGAAGGTGCATATTGCACCAGCCAGCGTGATTGGCTGATCTGTCGGGCAAATGTTCTTCCACTGCATCATGGTGGTTCTGGACTCATTTGGAGATGCCTCGGGCGTTGAACATGAAAAAAATTCTCGACTGAATACCTCAGAGCCCTCCATACCAGAATTTGGCGATGTTGTAGGGAAAAGGATGCACTTTGAACATGAAGCAACGACTACCTGAGTAGTAGCGTAGTGCCGATTGACTTGATAGGTCCAACTTGATCTGTCCGCCTTTATTTGTGCATGCTTGGTTCATACCCCGACGAGGTGATGCCGCTTTTATACTAGTTTCACCTCAACAGTATCAGCTGCCCAAGTTTTTTGAGACTGCGCTCGTCTACAAAATCAGGTTGCCATTCGCTTCGGTTTCTACATCCAACATGTCGTCAAAAGCGAAGAAACGACAACGCGAACCTGAGAACTGGGATTATGCTGATCTCAGTGGACCTGACCCAATGTACAAGAGGACAGCGCCAGCATGCATTCCCGCGTCATCTTCTACTACTTTCAGGGTCAACACCACCACCAAGGGCCCCGATCCGAATTTAATGTCTTATAGTTCCACTTTTGATAGCAAAGCTCCTTATAGCTATTCATACACCCCACCTACTACTTCTGTGATGACGATGCCATCAGTTCCGTATTCTTCATACAACTACAGCTATCCCCACCCCCAACCTACACAACCTCAGCCCCAAGCTCAAGAGGCACTACCACCTCCAGTCAAGAAACAAAGGAAGAAGAAGGATCCTAATGAGTCTGTGCCAGAGAAACGCGGTGCAATGTTCAAGAAAAAGTGTCCACAGAACATTCTCGATCGTGTCGATAGGGTCATGTCCCAAAGGTAACGTGTTTCTCGTGTATTTGGTAGGACTTTTCATCGATCGCGACCAAGGTTTTTCATGGTCGACAGGAAGCGTACTGGCGATGAGCTACGTGAGGAGTTTAGCGTGTTAGGTTCTACAGGGAACGTGAGTGCTCTTCTATTTCGTCATTTAACACGCTCACACCAACATAGGTGTATAATGTCGTCATCGACAAGACACCATCCTGCAACTGCATGTCGCGTTTTCTTTCGCTTTCAATTAGCCCCTGACTCTCGGCGTTTGACAGGTCCGGACGCCAACAAGGGCAATCACTGCAAGCACATAGTAAGGCCGTTCTTGCTTCGCATCGCATTCATTCTAATCATCTTACGTTAAGTTGTTTATATTCTTGAAAGGTAAGAGCAGTTCTATTCCCGTCACTGCACCTGCAGATGACTGAACCTCCGCTGTAGTTCTCCAAGTCAGCCAGAGCTCCGGCTTGTGGTACCAAAAGTCAGTACCTCGCGTCGATACAACTTTGACCAATCAGTTATCACCGTATAGAGCACTTATCACCTCCGAACTTCAAGAAATATTCACGCATGCGCCTCCAGCACCAAATTCTGTCGTCAACCAACGTGTTCGCGACGCATATGCACGCGCAACTGGCAAGGCTAATGCCTCGGAAGAGTCTGAGCCCGTGAAACAGCGCCGCGCACCTGGTCCAGAGGACGACTGCCCCATTTGCTATGAGAGCATGCATGGCACAGACGGGAACACCCTCATTTGGTGCGAGACTTGTGCGAATGCCGTGCACAAGGAGTGTTTCACACAATGTACGCGTTATATACTTGCTGCTGTTGAAACATTGGACTGATGATTGACGTAGGGGCTAAATCCTGTGGTCGCAACATTACTTGTGTGTTCTGCCGTTCCCCATGGGTCAACGTTAGCACAGATGGGCAGGCCTCCGGGAAGGCAAAGGCATCAGTGTCAGAGGGATACATTAACCTTGGTACTGTTGCGGGTTTGAGTCAAGAGCGTGATACCAGCTCCTGTGCGTCCATTTACAATTTTTTCAAGCTTTCTCGTCTTATCTTTTCAATCATGGGCGCCTATCTCGTCTAATTATTTCCCGCTAACCATCGCTTGCTGTAGATTATCATGGCTCCAAGCGTGGATATCGGCACTACGGTTATCAAGATTATGAAAACGTGCTTTAGGCAAAGGACCAAGTCCTATCATACGTGATCCGACCCATTGATCTATATCATCTCGTACTTTTTTTTAATTTACGCCCCCTCCATTTCACCACAGTACAACACCATTTAAATCTCTTGCACGTATATACGATTGCGCTTTGTCGCCTTAATCGTTATAATGTACATGTCACCGATCGGTCCTAGTGCTACTATTATTTTCGAATCATACCCGAGCAGAGGTGCTCGGGTCAGTCGTTAAAGAAGCTGTGTTTACTGATCGATTCTGTTTCTGATGCACGTGTATGTGTTTATCCTATGGCACGGCTTTTTGCGCATGAGACGCTTATCGATTGCAAAGAGCCGTTGGGCTGGAAAGCCAGACCACGTGCCATGCTACACTTCTACTACTTCTCCGAACCTTCCAATATAAGTATAAGACCACAGCTCCGAGTCACGCTTGCTGTTCAGTGCCATTTGCCGATCATCGAAGTCGTAAGTGAAGTTTTGCGAGAGCGGTGAACTCGAACTCATGTTCGCCCTTGGGCTGTGTCAATCATGATTCATGATGCATCTGATGTACGTCTCGCCTTTATCTCAATCGGGGACTAGTAGGCGGGAACTAAACGCTTCCGACAACGTTCGTGAGAAATATCCATCAGCCTCGGCGCTCTTTCCATGAGGAATTACAATGTTAGACTCCGCCACTGGACACGCGTCAAAATTGCTGTATTCCGAGTCAGCTTGTCCACTGCATCACGGGGCCGCCTAGTAATAGCCAGCATTAAAGCCATGCGGCCGTTATCTCAATCCTGCAGCATCTCGTCCTGCCAGTGGTTTCTCTCCAATCATGCTCGATTTCCCTTTCAAATCGGCTCGACGTGTCCTACCTCAAACTGACACACAGAAAAAGCAAACGCCGTTTCATGAACGAAGGCTTGGGGTGTGGCGCATACTTATCGCCGCCGATGAATCATCATCATTCAGGCTCCCCAGTCTTCAGTGGGACCTTATATCGACGCATATCCCCCTCTTGACTCGCGCATACAAGGATTTTTATTCTATCAGCCCGATGTTCTTCTGGCTCCTGATCTTTACACATCTCTGGTATGCAATCGAGAACCCACTGTCCCTATATTTCTCAAACCGCCTTTTACTTCTCGTGAGTGAATCCTTCTTGACTTGTGCCTCACATATATTAACTATTCCAAAAGATCCAACACTCTGTTTTGCAAGGCAAGGTTCACACGAGTCTGGACAGAGATCTATGTATAGCCATCATCGCTCGAGCTTCATGCTCCGTATTCAGCGGATTCGTGCAGTGGACTTCGTAAGTTTTCATCGAATTCGGTCGAATCACATTGATTGAAGGCAACAATAGCGATAAAGTAAAGGATAAATACCGCGTACTCGTCAGCTACCGACTTCAAGAGTGGTTACTACGAGGTATCCTCACCTTGATTTTCATCTCAACACTACTGAAATGCCTTGTTAGCAAATCTTGCGCGTGATCTTGAAGCGTCTCAAGGTTTGTGCTAGTCATACAATTCGTAGAATGATGAACTCAACTTAGGTATGTACAAGATAACGAGGCGGGTCTTGCAGTCGACACTAGACATGTGTTCTTCTGCCTCGTACGATTACTCGACCTTGGAAAGGAGATTATTTCGTTTCTGCTTCAATTGCGATTATTGCTGCATCTCCTTGGCTCCGAATTTGCGAGTGCTGGACCTGTCTCGGTCGTATTATGTTTTTTGCCCTTGATATTAGAGAATATGTGGGACAATGAGCTCTGGAGCAAAGGTATGTGCTCCTGTTTATTTTATTTTGACTGGCCTGACATTCCCAGCTTACGTGAAACAGGCAGTCAATGACGACTACTTGCGCAAAGAGGCCTTGACCTCGCTCACGAAAAACACATACAAAGCTGAGGTGATGGGAGGTAATTTATCAGGTTATCTTTTAAAAGGTTGTGCGTTGAGTATTTTTGAGTTTCAAAATCGCTTAAATAACTCTTTCAGAGTATGAGAAGGTGCACGATGCACTGGGTCACATTGCTAACGGGGATGTTGAGGATTTGTGGAGAAAATCAACGACTGCTCTGCCCAGTATATTTTCGAACCTCTGCAATGACGGACCCATTGTGAGTTTAAGTATGCAATCTTATACGCCCGTGTTCCTGATGTATTGTTAGCTCTACATCGGGCTGTTGGCTCTCATGAATCCGAGTCAGGTATCTGTCGTTCAGCTAGCCATACTAGAACAAGCCACCACACGTCTTCGATACACGTTTTCCTTCGCTAGACACATCATTCACTATTATCCGACTGAATTGGCCAGCTTGAAGAATTTTTACACAGTTCTCGATCTCAAGAACAAGATGAAAGACGGCTCTATGCCGTATTCACCGGCAGCCGATGCTTTGGGTCTCTCGTTAGAAGTTCGGTATGAATCTCAGTTTTGTATGGCTGCTCCTCTTCATTTTTCATTGACAGAAACGTATCGTTTAACTATCCCGGCGCCAAGTCTGAAAGAGATGCGTTGAAGGACGTTTCTTTTTCGATAAAAGCAGGTCAACTGGTGGTCATCGTCGGAGCAAACGGTTCAGGAAAGTCGACCATACTCAAGCTCCTGACTCGCTGCTATGACGCTACCTCGGGCGCTGTCTTGATCGATGGAAATCCCATCGAAGATTATCGAATTGCAGACTTGCGGTCTGTGACAGCCAGTCTAACACAGGAGCACACCTTATTCCCCCTCTCTATGAGCGAGAACATCGGGATCGGGTCACCATCATCTGTAACAGATCTCGACAAAATCACTCAAGCAGCGAAGTTAGCCGGCGCTCAGGACGTCATCGAGAACTTCACCGATGGATATCACACTGTCCTTGAACCCGTCAAGACTGCCCATCTCAGCTATACAGGGAGAGGGAACGAGGCCCTTAAAAAGGAGTACGAGAAGATGGAGAAAACAACAAATGTGTCTGGTACGTCTCATTCGCTAGGATGGTACACGTACTGATGACGCTTAGGTGGCGAGAAACAAAGACTGGTTGCGTAAGTCTTCTCATCCTGCCTCGTTGACGTTTAAGTGACTTGCGCAGTTCCCGGACCTTTATGCGCATGCTGTCTGAGGACATCAAGTTTGTTATAGTCGACGAGCCAAGTTCTGCCCTTGATCCAGGGGGCGAGTACGAACTGTTCAAGCAGCTCAGGGAAGCACGCAAAGGAAGAACCATGATATTCGTCACGCACCGTTTTGCGCATCTCACCAAGTTTGCCGATCTCATCTTGTATGTATTCCTTTTTGATCATCATCCTTGCCTTTCATTCTGATATGAACGACGAATCCAGGTGTATGAAGGGTGGGATTCTGGTTGAGACGGGAACGCACCAGGAACTGTTGGAACGTCAGGGAGAGTATGCTCACTTGTATAATGTCCAAGCGCAAGCTTTTACTTGAGCTCACCGAGCCCGTTAAGGACAATCGTCATAGAAGTCAAGCCAGTATGTGCTGGATTGTACTACATAACAATGATAATGGCTTCCGAAAGTAGATTATGGAACCCGCACATTGCAGTCTCACATATCTGACGACAAATGCTGATCTATTCTCTATTGCGATGAACTAGTAGCACGACAATTCTCGGCCCGTGTCAGTACTGTAGAAGAAAATAGATCCTAAGGTGAAATCTGCGAGATGTTATTGGATGAGTGTGAAATGTAGATTATCGATTAAGAATCATTGGTTTGGTCCTACGAGTAGTATAAGTATAGGCAATCACAGGTTTCTAGAATATAATCGAGTCAACCGTCTACTAGTAGCTGATGTACTTTGGTAGCAAGGCGGCTATTTTGGTGGCTATTTCGAGTCAGCGCTCCGATACAGCCTGTATTACATAAGAAGCCTGCCCCTTGCGCAAGTTGTGCCATTTGCCAATCAAAGTTGTAAGTCAAGTTTTGCGCATCGTATATTCGCCCCCAGGCAGTGTCGAATCTCTCGATGTGCGTCTCTTGATGACTAGTACTAAGCTCGGGGACTAAACACTTCCGACAGTGAACGTTCATGAGAAATGTCTGTCAGATGACAATGATCATTTGGCAGAGTCTCACAGAGCTTTGAACGCTCTTGGACTTTCATGTCCGACTTCGCCACTGGACGCGCGTTTGTATGTTCCGAGCCATAATCTTGTCGACTCCGTTACAGGGCCACAGCCTAGCAATAGCTAGTATTAAAGCCATGCTATCTCAATCCTGCAGCATCCCATCCTGCCAGTGATTTCTCTCGAATCATGTTCAATTTTCCTTTGGCTCGACGTGTCCTACCTCAAACTGACACGCAGAAAGAGCAAGCATCGTTCCTTGAGCGAAGGCTTGGGGTGTGGCGTGTCCTGGTCGCTGCTGACGATTCATCATCATTCAGGCTCCCAAATCTTCAGTGGGGTCTTGTATCGACGCATATCCCCCTCTTGACTCGAGCATACAAGGATTTTCACTCTATCAGCCCTAGGCTTTTCTGGCTCCTGATAGCTGCAAGTCTCTGGTATGCAATTGAGAACCCGTTGTCCCTCTATTTCTCAAACCGCCTTCTACTTCTCGTGAGTGAATTGTTTTTAACTTATGCCTCATATAATATTAACTGTTCCCAAAGATCCAGCACTCTGTTTTGCAAGGCAAGATTCACACGAGTCTGGACAGAGATCTATGTATGGCTATCATCGCTCGAGCTTCATGCTCCGCGGTTAGTGGATTTGTGCGATGGACTTCGTAAGTTTCCATCGAATTTGGTAGAATCACATTGATTGAAGGTAACAATAGCGATAAAGTGAAGGATGAATACCGCGTACTTGTCAGCTACCGATTTCAAGAGTGGTTACTGCGAGGTATTTGCACCTTGATCTTCATCTCAACGTTACTGAAATGCTTTTTTTTTTTTTTTTTTAGCAAACCTTGCGCGCGATCTTGAAACGTCCCAAGGTCAGTGGCTGTCATATAATTCGTAAAATGATAGGCTCAAGTCAGGTATGTAAAAGATAACGAGGCGAATCTCGTAGTCAACCCTAAGCGAGTGTTTTTCTGCCTCGTACGATCACTTGACCTCGGAAAGGAGATTATTTCGTTTCTGCTTCAATTGCGATTATTGTTGCATCTCTTGGGCTCCGAATTTGCGAGTGCTGGACCTGTCTCAGTCGTATTATGTCTTTTGCCCTTGATATTAGAGAATATGTGGGACAATGAGCTCTGGAGCAAAGGTGTGTGCTCCTGTGAATCTTATTCTGACTGGCCTAACTGGCCTGACATTCGTAGCTTACGTGAAACAGGCAGTCAATGACGACTACTTGCGGAAGGAGGCCTTGACCTCGCTTACGGAAGACGCATACAAAGCTGAGGTGATGGGAGGTAATTTATCAGGTTATATTTTAAAAGGTTGTGTGTTGAGTATTTGTGATTTTCAAAATTACTTACTACGTAACTCTTTTAGAGTACCAGAAGGTGCAAGATGCACTCAGTCACATTCCTAACGGAGACGTTGAGGATTTGTGGGAAAGATCAACGACCGCTCTGCCTAGTATGTTTTCGAACCTCTGCAATGACGGACCCATTGTAAGTTTATGCAATCTTATACGCCTGCGTTCCTGATGTATTGTTAGCTCTATATCGGGCTGTTAGCTCTCATGAATCCAAGTCAGGTATCTGTCGTTCAGCTAGCTATGCTAGAACAAGCCACCATACGTCTTCGATATACATTTTCCTTCGCTAGGCACATCATCCACTATTATCCGGCTGAATTGGCCAGCTTGAAGAATTTCTACACAGTTCTCGATCTCAAGAACAAGATGAAAGACGGCTCTATGCCGTATTCACCGGCAGCCGATGCTTTGGGTCTCTCGTTAGAAGTTCGGTATGAATCTCAAGTTTTGTGTGGCTGCTCTTCATTTTTCATCGACAGAAACGTGTCGTTCAACTATCCCGGCGCCAAGTCTGAAAGAGATGCGTTAAAGGATGTCTCTTTTGCGATAAAAGCAGGTCAATTGGTAGTCATCGTCGGAGCAAATGGTTCAGGAAAGTCGACCATACTCAAGCTCCTGACTCGCTGCTACGACGCTACTTCTGGCACTGTCTTAATCGATGGAAATCCCATCGAAGACTATCGAATCGCAGACTTGCGGTCTGTGACAGCCAGTCTAACACAGGAGCACACCTTATTTCCCCTCTCTATGAGCGAGAACATTGGGATTGGGTCACCATCATCTGTAACAGATCTCGACAAAATCACTCAAGCAGCGAAGTTAGCCGGTGCTCAGGACGTCATCGAGAACTTCACTGACGGATATGACACCGTTCTTGAACCTGTCCAGACTGCTTATCTTAGCTATACCGGGAGTGGGAACGAGGCGCTAAAAAAGGAATACGAGAAGATGGAGAAAACAACGAACGTATCTGGTACGTCTCATTTACTAGGATGGTACGCGTCCTAATGATGCTTAGGCGGAGAGAAGCAAAGACTAGTTGCGTGAGTCTTCTCGTACTGCCTCGTTGACGTTTAAGTAACTCGTGCAGCTCCCGGACCTTTATGCGTATGCTGTCCGAGGACATCAAGTTTGTTATAGTCGACGAGCCAAGTTCTGCCCTTGATCCAGGGGGCGAGTACGAACTGTTCAAGCAGCTCAGGGAAGCACGCAAAGGAAGAACTATGGTATTCGTCACGCACCGTTTTGGACATCTCACTAAGTTTGCCGATCTTATCTTGTATGTATTCTTTCATCATCGCCTTTCATTCTGATGTGAATGACGAATCCAGGTGTATGAAAGGAGGGAGTGTAGTTGAGATGGGAACGCATGCGGAATTGTTGAGCCATCAGGGAGAGTATGCTCAATTATATAATGTCCAAGCGCAAGCTTTTAATTGAGCTCACCAAGCCCACTAAGGATAACCCTTATAGCAATCACGCCAGTATATGTTGGATTACACTACGTAGCAATATGCTAGTAAATTCCATATATCTGACATCCTCAAATGCTGGCATCGAACCGGCAGCACAACACTCCTCGGCCCTTGTGTGGGACTACACTGGCAGGCAATCACGCGGCGGCTACGCCAGAGAGACTGATACCTCACGTCAGTCCCAAGGGTGTCATCTTTCCATTACATCATTTACTGTAGAAGAAAATTGCTGTTCGCACTTGCACAGAAGACTGCTATGATAACAAGTTGAAGGCGAGGAAGCGGAAGCATTTTCAAGATGTTCAAGAGAGACCGGCGATGAGACATGGAGTAAGGTAATAAGCTCAAAGTGCAATCTATTATCGTAATCACTAGGTTATGAACAGTTGGATCGACAGTCAAGATAGAAAATCATGGTGCTCGACTGACCTTGAAGAGAATCCCTCAGGGTGAGATGAATATCTGATACCTCGAGAGCAGGTAAAACTTGAGATGCATGGGCCAGCCAGCGCTTGTATTAGGGCGTCTTACGGGACCCTCAGTAAGGCTAATAATTACTTAATGTTCTGCAATGAAAGACAGTGATTGTATACCACCGACGAACGCTGCAAGAAACATAGCCAAACTTTTCTTGAAAATGTGGTTCAAATAACCCACGTCGGGGAACAACATGCGTTATGAACGCTCGGGGCTCATGGTCGAACTTGAAGTCTGGGGGAATAAATTCACAACCCTCTTGTCATCCCCGATGACACGGAACCTCACTAATTAGAGCCATAGTGAACATCAGATATCTGAAAGGTAATCATCTAGGAACTCACGCGGAGTGAACGGTTGTCCTTTGGCTTTCCGAATACTAGTAAAATAGAGAGTGCCAGAGCCCTGGTGGCCCTTTAGACGGAAACTTACGTCCACATTGCCTTGTGGAAGGTTAATCTAAGCAAAAACAATGAGATGAAGTGAATGCTACGATAATTAATTGTACTCACCGAGCCATTTATCCAAGGGTTACCATTCAAATACCAAGCAGGTTCAAATCGGATCGCATCTCCCAGCACATCCTTCAGTTCTTGATTCTCCCTAACCGTCTGCATGATCTGCTTCACAACAGAGCTCGATAGCTTCTCTTGGTTTGTCGCGACGAGTAAAAATGCAGCCCAAGCTGAAACCCCGAGGGTGGCGAATGCAAGAATGAACGGCCAACGTTTCTGTGTTGTCGAATGAGTAGAATGCGTGCACGTAGATGCTAAACGCGAACCTGAACGCGAGGAAGGTCGGTCTTAAGAGGAGGCCTGGTATAATATAGCCTTGGTTTTGAAGGTGCGGAGAACGTCTCGACATGAGGTTCTTCGGTAGGAGGAGGGGGTCGCGGCAACTCGGTCACTGTCGCATAGCTCCTTGATATAACTCTTCTGTCCAAAATCGAGAGATTTCTTGCGTGTCGAGTGATGGACATCATTTTGACAAGCAAAGGACTTGCCAGTCACTAGGAGAAAGCAACCAAAATCCTGATATGCGGCGTAGCACAGCCACATCAGTTTAAAGGTTTGTTATGTCGTTCAACTTGAACCGTGACCTTCCGTTGATCAGATCGTCCACGTCATTTTGACTCTTCAAAATTTGAAAGCACGCGCTCATCCAGCGCACAAATATGTTTGCAAGTCACGATAGGCTGCTGTTACTACCTGCACCACACCCGTACCGCATAAAGCTCATGTCGGTCTAGCCGGCCTTCTCAAGTTCTCACTGATGTCCAGTTGTTCCAGTTTGACCCACCTTGGTTAGGTGTCCGCAACTCGGATCATAAGTCGGGATAAGTTTCAGTTATCTCTTGGATCAATCTTGGTTTGGATCGCAGACTAGGTTACCCAATGCGGATACTGAGGTGATTCCCGGTTGACTACTAATCTTTTTTAATACTGCGTGACCAGTGGCTCAGGCTCGAAATTGCCTACTTCCAATATGGAGGCTCCGAGAGCTTCAGCGATTTCGAAGTTGCAACCCCAACCGAGTGCAGATGAGACGACTCTCGCCAAGCTAGGATACAAGCAGGAGTTTCACAGGGAATTCACTCCACTAGAGGTGAGCTTGATTTCAGACTCGTCCATGTACGCGTCGCAAGCTAACAACTGCAGGTGGCTGGACTTGCTTTCAGCTATGTTGGAGTGGTTCCTTCTATAGCGTAAGCCGTCACTATGACACAAGTCAATTGAAATCGCATCATTAACGATAAAGATTCGTTCAGCTCCATGCTCTTCTATGCCATACCAAATGGTGGGCCTTTCGCTATGGTTTGGGGTGTAAGTTTCTATCACACGTGAAAATTGTTGTTTTGTGAACATCTTACTTTCCCTCTGTGCAGTGGGCAATTGCTTGCCCCTTTATCATGTGCATCGGGTTGGCGATGGCAGAGCTCGCATCAGCAGCACCTACTTCTGGTGGTGTATGTCATCTACGCTGCGGCTGTTTCACACTTGACTCAACACAATCTAGCTATACTATTGGACTTACTCGCTCGCTTCTCCTCGATGCCGCAATTTTCTGTCGTGGATAGTCGGCTGTAAGTCCTATATTTTGATGTAATATGCAGCCAGTCCTGACATTTACAGATTCGAATACTGTACAGATTATCACGGGAGTCGGTAAGAGAAGTTTCATTTTTCCAACGGTCTTCCTCGGATCATGTGGGTTAGCTTCCATAGACTGGGCTTGCGCAATTCAAGTCACTGCAACAATCAGTATTGCCTCCTCTGGCCAGGCATACACGACTACCAACCGGCAGCTCTAGTAAGCTCGACTTTATCCAGATACAACACTCTTCATAGTGATTGTTACAGTGGTATATACGCAGCTTTGGTTTTGTCACAAGCTGTTCTCGTGAGCTTCGGTACCAAGGTTTTGGCAAGGCTACAGAGACTATTCACGTTGGTGAATGCATCGTAGGTTTTGTAGAGTTCGTACATGATCATTGTTTCAAATCTTCCAATAGCCTCTGCTTCATAATCATCATTGCGCTTCCGATCGCAACGCCACCAGATTATCGCAACAGTGCAAATTTTGCGCTAGGGGATTTCGCCAACTGTATGTATCATCGTCCAATTACGCTCACAGCTCATGATAAACTGTAGTGGCCGGCTGGCCATCTGGATTCGCATTTATTTTGAGCTTCATGGCTCCTCTTTATACAATAGGTAAGACCATATCTCCTCAAATTATCGCTCCATGACTATCTTTAACCTACCAGGGGGTTTTGATGCCAGCGTTCATATGAGCGAGGAGGCCTCAAATGCCGCTACTACGATACCATGGGCAATAGTAAGTTACACTAGAAATGACTAAGTGTTATATTTATCCCACTCAGGTCACTTCCATTGCCGCATCGGCCGTTCTTGGTTGGGGTGTGTGGAATAACATGTCACTCTGATCTTGATGACATATTCTAATACAGGAATCAACGTCTCACTTGCCTTTTGCATGGGTACTGATATCGGCAGCATCCTAAGTAGCCCTACAGGCCAGCCTATGGCACAGATCTTATATAATTCGCTCGGGCAGAAAAAGACCCTGGCTCTATGGTGCTTCATTATTTTAGCGGAGTGAGTTTTAGTGTCGTGTGGCGTATTCACAGCCTAATCATAGAGCAGGTACATAGTAGCATCGAACAGCCTCCTGGTTGGCTCTCGCCAATCGTTTGCATTTGCTCGTGATGGAGCCCTCCCATTTTCACGGTATCTGTACCGGATAAATCACTACACAGGAACACCTGTCAATACAGTTTGGTTCGACGCCATTTGCGCTCTGGCAATTGGGCTTTTGTCGTTTCTGAGTACCGAAGCCATCAATGCGATCTTCACGATTTCTGTCACAGCATCGTATATCGCTTACATAACCCCGATCACAACCCGCTTTGCGTTTAAGAATGATTTCAAACCCGGCCCATTTCATCTGGGGAAACTGGTGGGTTAATCGGTAGCGATATATTCCTGAACTCATATGTCTGTGCAGAGCTTACCAGTTGCCGTGATCGCTGTGGTATGGATGGTCTTCGTGATCCTGGTTTTCTTCTTTCCCGCGACCCCGCAAACAACGGTACAACAGATGAACTACACAGTTGTGGTACTTGGAGGCTTCATGTTTCTGGCAATTTCCTGGTATTATTGTCCAGTGTACGGAGGCGTGCATTGGTTTGATGGGCCCATATCCAATTTTACATCGGTCATCGGAGGTGAAAGCAGAGACGAGAGTTCAACATCGGAGAAGGAACAACTTGAAGTAGATATCTCTGTTTCAGTGGTGGATGTATAAGTAGTGTTCTTATACCATCGTGAAGGCATTGGTAGACAAAAATGATACATGGTAATCAAGAGTCTGTGGATGACGGGCGTCTGTTATGTCGTGTGTTTTGCGCAAGCGTTTTGGATTTCGAGGTCTATTTGCTGATGTGTAATGCATGAAACAAGTGAGATTCCAGTGTCGCTCGCCATCGACGACATTTGTAGTACCAGTGTTCATGTGCACTGGGTGACGAATCTAAATAGGATAGCCCGTGGTAGTTTCCCATCCATCCGGGATTGTCCAATTGGTGTTACAAACGAAGTCCCAGTCCGTATTCCGAATGCTCTCTTTCTGCGCGTCGACAAAAGCATGAACGGTACACATTCCATCTGGATTATCTTGACAGCCGTTTAGATTTGCCAGCGGCACAACACCATCATTAACGATCACACGAATTTGTGGGTCGGGCTCCGTGGAGCATGACAGGACTACGAGAACATCAAGTCGAGTTTGGAAGAATTGCAGGATTACTTACGCTGGAACTGTACGTTGGTTGCAAATGGAGCAAGCTCCGCTGACCTAAACGTGCGCCGTTTTGGTATATGATCAGTAGGCAATTGTCCCATCGCCGCAAAGCTCGAAAGATTCAATGCAGTAAGGACTGTCAATGAATAAAAATCAAAACGTTTTCCAAGTTCAAGTTCAACAACTAGCTGACCATTTAATACCACAACTTCATGCGTCGCATCGACATAAAGGCTGTTTCCAAAGGGGAAGGTGACGGCGTTATGAAGCGTTGCATTAGTGGAGCTATTGTGCGTTTCAATCGGCGTTTGAGTGAGACGAGACACGAGCTCTTGCACATAGCCAATTCCCAGTGCCCTACTCACAGGTGAGCCCCAAGCTACACCGTACCTATATTTTTCTGTCAGAATTCAATTTTCGGTGGCAAGCGAAGGAGAGAGTGCACCAAAAGTTAATATCATATCTGGTTCAGATCAGCGGCGTGCAAACTACATAGAGGAGGTTTCTCACGAGTAATCGAAGCCTTCCCACTCATTCTCCGTGAAGAGTTCGCAGAACTTGGAATAACCAAGAGCGACCGTCTCATAGGCGCACAATTCTTGCATGGCGTAAACATCTCGAACATCCAATTCAAATCCATCAAGGTATTGCTGCAAACGAGGAACGGTATCCTTGAGATACGCTGCTTTCCAAGCATCAGCAAGGGGTGCGCCGCGGTAGCCCCGATTTGGATCGTCATTGTTGGCGCAAGATTCATAAGGGGCAAGAGTATTGTTGAACTGACGTGTACACATTATCACGAGTATCTTAGAGTAGTTCAAATGACTTACACCTTTGGCTTCAATCATGATCTCTTGTTGATATTGGCCCTCAAGAGGGTAACCAAAAAATCCGAGAGCAAAGTGTTGCGCAGAGTTTAACATCCGGGTTCTTCATACGTTATCTTCAGAATGCAAATGATCGATTCTTTAAATACTTACTGGGATTCTGTTCTGAACACAGGCAAGGTATCTGTTTCGCTGAAATTCTGAATGGCATGGTCAAATTGAAAATAAAGCAGGGAGACGCGGAAAATTTACCTTGAGAAGAAACCCGTATCTCATGCGCATCGACACGCCGAGATCGTCTATACGAACATCACAATCTGTTTTTGTATGAAATGATGATCCGCTTACACAATTGAGACCTCCCGAAAGGTGTTAATCCTGACAATAATTGAGCAATGAAGCACATTCCGATAACATATGGCGGTTACCTTCATTTCCTAGCTTGTATGTCCTGTGAACGTAGAGTCAGATATCGGCTACCTTATCCATTTTCTAGGCGACCTCACCAGTCATCTAAAAATGAAAGAGGCCCAGTAACTGTGACATTTTCTGCATTCTTGTTTAACCTCGAGGCAAACCCACTCGGCCCACTATCGCTAGCTAATGTGTAAACCCTCTCTCAGAAACTACTTAAAATTTTACATGTGGTCGACTCACTGTAGTCAGCCGGGTATCGTGCACCGTGACGATGTAGAAGATGCACACCAGTAATGCGGCAAGTATCAGGGGCTTCTGGACTAGAATCAACACCAAATTTTCCACGTTGTATGGAGTACCACGGAGATAAGCTTCCCCAGCTACGGAAAATATTGAAATCCTTCGTTCTGGCCTTGGCGCTGTCCTGAGAAAAACGTGTGGGAGATACAAGGTGCGCCACACCAGAATGCAAAGGATAGGCAGGAGCTGTAGCAGCTACGCCAGGCTCGGCACCTGCTTGTGTTGGACCTGGATAGCCGACACTACATAACTACAGCTCCAGCCTTGAAAACAACAGCAGCTAGAGAGAAACGTGCCTGGATGGAAACATAGAGGGAAACGCGTTGGTGGGCTCGGCTGGAGGGTATTGATGCCATTCAGGTGTTCCTACGTCCGTAGGAAGAAAAGCAGTGAAGGGTGAAAATAGCAAGCATGATTGGTTTGAGGAGGCATATCGTGCAACCACAGCCAGACATATCAAGAATCCTGCGAAGAAGCCAGCGCCGACGCGTAAGAACAGTGACCGCCCCCCATCGCTAAGGTATAAGGAAGGCGATGTATCGTCCAGGTAAACTCGACTCTGGTCGCCCACTCTCTTAACTTCAGGTGTGAACACTGGGAGAGTGAAGTCGTGTCGTGAGTCCTGCACCTCGCAGCCATGAAGAAGGCTATCATCATTCTCTTTGAACTTGGGCCTTTGGGGATGACTTTTCGACGCGACATGTTCAAGCAGTGGCATCTTGTACTAAAGTAACTAGGTCAGTTCCAAAAGGTGTCATTCCATGTTGTTGCTCGAAGAACAGTACCCGACTGAAATGGCAAATCTGGGTTTGAATTTGGATGTTCGACGAAACATACGCGTGTTCGATTGTTCTTTTAGCCAATGGGAAAACTGAACGACTTCATTGATGCGGGCAGTGGGAACCATCGTATCTAGACTCACTCGCTAATTAGAGAATGGCTCCTCACCAATCAAACAGATGTTGTACTTACAACGTACTTGCTTGCTCGTGTACATCCTTACAGCGACTATGAGAGTTTGAACTGGAGGCTGTAGGAAGACACTGACGGTGAGACTAAAATTAGATACTGATATCGAGTACACAAACGTCAGTCCGGCTCCCAACAGGGTGGGAAACACAACTTCAAGTCCCCATGAACCCATCCACCGGCCTCAACTACCATACTTCCTCGACATTCTCAGGCCAAAGGTTATCGCCCTCGCGCGTACACACTATGTGCGGTTCTGCCACCTCTCTTAAATGTCCATCGGTGAGCTACTGGAGCTGCTCCGAATTCTGCCCCCGAGCCTCGGCGCGCTTTCACCTCCCATAGCCTACGAAAATCAGCACCGACGGATTCCGTGATCTCAAAGAGGATTGATAAGAACAAGCAACGAGGGAGGGAATGTCGACTGCAGCGCGGTGAGGGTTTGGCGCTAGATCTTGGCGTAGACGTGCTAGTATCCAGTCTTGATGTGCTGTAAGTCAACCGGCGGTGACATAGCTAGTGACTGCAGGAGCAGGCAGGATGTAAAGCATGTCTGTTGAATGGTAACATATGGTTTTTAAAAGATAGAGAGCCGATCTATTTCGGAATGCACACATCACTGAATCATTGATCGATGATCACTACTTATATCTCATTTTACTGCAACTATCACCACTCTCGCGTGAGAGGCCCCGCATCGTTAATATTGAAGCCCTGTCGTACTTTCGAGTTGACTTTAACATCTGTTCAAAAGCACGCCGGCTCTTGAGATTGGGAGTCTGGAACAAGAAAATCTTGCCTCAATTCTGCAACGAGATGTATATGTTGCATGCCGTGTCAGCAAAAGTACATGCGAACCCCTTTAGAGGGTGTATAGCCTCCGACACGAATGGAGTATGGGAATGCTAATACTGGGGTGACAAGTGATTAATAGCCTGAAACAACAAAGATGAACAGACAACTGGTGCGAGTAAGAATTATGGGTAGCTAGCGGCCCCCAACGGAAGGCGGCGTACCACGTCCCCTTGGACGTCCCCCTCGTCGTCCATATCCACCCCAACCTCCGACATAAGCGCCCGGACCCATCAGTCCTACACCCCCAGGCTCACCAAATGTAGCGACATTGCGCTCTCTTTCTTCCTCCCTACGATTTCTACCTCCGCCACCTCGCCGTCCACCGGTGCCTCGTGTTGGTGGCGGACCAGCTTGCGTTGAGGATGATAAAGAATCGAAAAACGATTTCGTTGGGTTATAGGCAACCTCGTCTTTCTCATCCTTTTTGTCCGTTGGCGAGTCACGGTCGGAGGAAACGCCATTCTCATTATCACCATCCTTCTTCTTTGGTGCAACTGCCGTCTTGTCAAACCGAGCGTTGGAGCTCTGGAAATCGAAATCCGTCGAAGGCACCTTGATATCTTTTGTCTCTCCACCATGAGCGTGATGACCACCACGCCGGCCACCACGACCTCCATGCACGGGCGCGGTATTTCCAGATCCACGCAAGTCTCCCAAAGCGCGCTGAACTGTTTCCATTGATGCGGCAGCAGTGTGCACCGAACTAACACGACTCGGGCCAGTACTAGGCCCTGGCGCATCATTCTGTGGCACGGCGGAGGCCATCGGAGGAGCTGGCTCATCTTGCACCGGCACAGGCTGAGCATAGGCGGGAGCCTGAGCTTGTGGCGGTGGGGGCTGAGCTACGACAGGCTGTTGGTATTGAGGACCGTATGCATTGTACTGGGATTGTGTTCCAGGAGCGGACGCCTACGATATTGAATTACTATGATGTGCTCAAGGTAGGAGAACATCACTCACTCCCAGCACTGCAGGGTCATCGTGAACACTACGAAGCGGAGCTGGTTCATCGACTGCAAGATCTTTGACCTCAGACGCGCGAAAAATTATGTATTGGTATGGTTCTTGGACGGGAGGAATGAATTCCGAGGGTGGCCTGACGCGAGTTGGATGTCAGATTACGCGTCACGAGGAGAAGGCGAGGCAGAAACTGGAGGTGTTACAACAAGGGCAATGACTCACCTTCTGGACTCCGTACCCATAGAAAACACTAGCAGCCATATAAGACCATCTGGAGAGCCGCAGAAAGTGAAACTCACCATTTGAGAGTTGGATCGTGGATGCAGCGGGGTCAATACCCGCCAGTATTCCTCGATACCGTACATCAGAATGAGATATGAGAGAAATTGGTTTTCTGAGTAGTAGTGATTAGCAACAATTTCGAAATGAGTAGAAACCCACATACCCTATAAAGCTCAGCGCCATGGTCGTCGTCAAAGGCTAGAACTGTAAGGAATTGCTTTCTGTATTTCGTATCACCGCTGCTCGAATTCGGCCTTTTTGAAACGGAGCTTCAATTAGTTTCAACACGACCTTCCTACTTTGGTAGCATAACAATTGACCTTGAAGCAAGAGTCAGGAACTCAGGGTAAAGCTGAAAAGTTCTGCCAGGGGCACATTGACTATCTACAGGGTCGGAGAGGCGATTTGCACTGGTGCATGACAGTTCGCTAGTCACTGGTGAGTGGCTGCAGGTTGAAACTGAGAAAAGCGTATTTACCTGAAAGGTGCAATGCATCTGTGAGTTTCACATTGATCTCCATTGAATTAATCATCATTGATTTTAGTGACCGGACACATCATCGTATGATTCAAGGTCAAGGACTACGGTGCTATACGTCGATGCCCCAACGTTTGATGAGTTCTTCAAAGTACGGGGGATTTCATCTGTCCACCTGTGGGTTTCGGAAGAAGCATCAATCATGCGTTTCAACAAATTGCAAAATATGTTCTAGGTAAGTCTGAGGCCTAGTGCGACACTCTTCACGTTGAAAACCATAATATGAACCGTATAGCTTCGGACTCGCCGCCTGCTTGCTTCATGCCACGATTCGGACTGGTAACTATCACAAATACATCATGCATTCTACTTTTATATACTTGCAGATAGTTCTTCTACAGTTCGCAACCAAAACCATGCTCCTTCATGATACCAGGGGAAACTTGAGGGTAACCGCCCAAACTTTTAAATAAGTGTGCACCCCAAATTATGGAGACACGTAAAATACTGTCAGGCACCGAGACAAGGATACTACAGCCTCGAAGAGCCCAGTACACTAACCTACAGTTATGGTGCGATGCTAGTATAAGTATGTGAGAGACAGGAAATGCGATATAAAAGGCTACACGTGCTATGTGATGTGCATGTGATCACGACCAGAAGTTAAAAGAAGTCACGACCTCTCCAACCTTACTGCTACCCCTTCCGCCTCTCCTTTAGCTTGTCCAAAGTCTGGATCCAAAGCTGTCACACTCTTTTGTCTGGTGTCAGCAGGTGTTACGGCGGTAAGATGTGGATCTATTGGGTCTGACGGAGGTCCAGAGGTCGTGGTTGAAGTCGGCGTGGAAGTCGTAGCAGTCGTAGAAGTGTCCGGATTGAAATTGCGGAAAGGGGATGGTGCCACTAAAGGGCGATGGAATCGAGCACGAAATTCACTGGGGTGGGGCTGAGGAGGTTCCCCAAACCCACTGCTAGCAGGGTCGGCCATATCAACATTTGGGAATGGGGCAGTCGATGGTCCAGGAATAGAGCCATCTGCAGCTTTGGCTGCAGCTTGTTGAGCGTAGTGCATGCGACGCTAATATTTGGTGAGTTATTTCGGCAACTATGAGATACAGTGGTTCATACTTGATGATCCCATTGATCAAAGGCTTCTGCTATGACTGGTTCCAAGGAAGCGAGTTCTTCGCTCGTGATCGCCAATGTCCTTAGAAGATGTTGCTTAAGAAGGGGTGCGCAGGAAAAAGATAGGAGTAGCGTCGAAGCAAAATTTTGTCCACCAGTAAGTTGTGGAGGTGGTGCTTGAGGGAAAGATGGGTCTTGCGGGTTCATTGGATGCGGCGGGTGCGGCATCTCATGGGGAAGCACTTGTTGATACTGGCCGTCTCCATTTACTCTGTACTCTTCCATCCCCTGCATCATATCATTGGGCATATCCAGGCCTAGCTCTCGCATCTTTCGCTGTTTAACGAGACTCCGGTGTTTACGCTGCCGTTCCCGGGCGGCGGCCCTGACTCTTTCGCGCCTAGAAAGTTCCTCGGGCGACATTTCTTGACCGGTAAAAGTCGGAGTGGGCGGTTGAGATGGCTGAGGCTGGGGAAGAGGCTGGGCATCCGTAGGTTGTGTAAATGCCATTATTGCATTGATGTTATTGACAGTACGATCACGCTCGCGTTTCCTGCGCTGCCGCTCCGCAGCTTTCTCTCGTTTTTGCCTTTGTTGGGGCGTCTCATTTTCTCGCGAACGTCTACGGGAAGACGAAACTGGTGTGAGGGTGCTCTGTGATGGATTATGATGAGCCCCTGGGTCCATTGCATGCATTGTCCAGATGTGACCGAGCCTTAGATGTGACGCTTGTTACGGCGTCTTCAGCGAGGGTGACCGTCGTCGTGACAGAGAGTGACGAAGGGGGGACAAACACAGTTACGCAGAACAACTAGTGAGCGTGAGAATATGTTACTAAAATAGTCTGATGCTTTGTTCAGCTGTAGTTCGAACTTGTATTGCATGCTAATTCGACATTAATATCCTGCCAGTCTTCTTCAACATGCTTTCACGTCCTGGTCCGACACCTATCCACTCAATAGGCGTGCCCAAGAAATTCTCAATGAACCCTACGTAACTCTTGCATTTATCTGGGAGGTCGTCAAACGATGTTATGGAGGTTATCTGGGTCTTCCATCCAGGAAGTGTCACATAGACCACTGTGACTTTGGCCAGAACATCAAGATCGGCTGATGGATTGTGAACGATGCGTCGCTTTGTCCTATGGTCAACTCACCTGGGAAATATTGGAGTTCTTTGTCGTCGATCATGTACTTGACCCCGATTTTGATGTCCTCTAATTCATCCAAGACATCTAGCTTCGTCAAGTTGAGCGAATCATATCCATTTATGAGGCATGAGTGCTTCATGACGACAAGATCCAGCCAGCCACAACGTCTCCTTCGGCCTGTGGTAGTACCATACTCCTTTCCAACTTCTTGGAAGTGGACGCCAATGTCCTGAAAATATGTGAATACATAAGTATGTATTGTTGCAAGAAGACGAACGTTAAGCTGCTCAGTTGGAAATGGTCCTCCTCCAACCCGAGTGGTATATGCCTTGATAACTCCAATGGTGTGCCCAATCGCTTTAGGAGGTATGCCAAGACCAGTGCATACACCACCAATTGTGGTGGACGATGAGGTAACGTAGGGGTACGTCCCGAAATCCAGGTCAAGCATGAGCGCATTTGCACCTTCGACAAGGACCTTCTTGTGCGCTGCCAGCGCGCTGTGAATATACTCTACACTATCGACAACGAAAGGCTTTAGTCGCTGTGCAAGAACCTACGTCATGTTCAGCGACGATACTTAACGGGAGATCATGAGAGATACGACCTTGTAGCGCGCAATCTCGCCTTCTGTATCATATTCGAAATGACCATAGCGTTTAAAACGACCCTCCACAATTTTGCGAAACTTGTGAGCAAAGGTATCATGATCAAAAAGGTGATGCACTCGGAGGCCCGAACGAGAGGCTTTCCCGGAGTAAGCCGGGCCTATCCCTTTCTTCGTGGTTCCGATGCTGCAGGTTTGTTAATGATAAGAATGGAATGAAGAATTATATGTTCATACCTGGAACCACCAAGCTCCACTTCCTTCAAGCCGTCTACGATTTGATGAAAATCGAACACAAGATGAGCTCTATCTGAAAGAAATATTCTGTTCGAGCAGTTCAGGCCTGAGTAACCTGGTCATCGCTAAAGCACATTCGACCATGATGAAACTGACCTTGCTGTTCCAAGGCGTCCAGTTCATTAAAAAAGGAAGGCACATGGACAACGACTCCAGAACCAATCAGTCCCACACATGTTGGGTTTACAAGGCCTACCGAATTGATAGATCAATACCATACAAAAGACTATGAGAACTGATCACGAACCGCTTGGGAGAAGATGGAAAGCAAAGGTAGTCTTCACCTTCTCCGGTCCAATGGGGACAACGATTGTGTGTCCGGCATTATTACCGCCTGCGCATCGCGCGCAGACGTCGAAGTCAGCCGATAGGATATCGACCAGCTTGCCTTTGCCTTCATCTCCCCATTGTGAACCAAGAACGACAGTTACTGCAACAGGATCGGTAATCAAAGGTCGGTGGTGCTGAAAAGACTGACATACCGCTCATGGACAAAGGAGCTTCTGTGATACGGGTTGAGTCAGTTGGCAGAAGCTGCGATGTGGAAAAGAAATGAGATCGATGACTTGATCATCGGACATCTTCGGATAAGTCTGAATCATCCGGAAAAGGCAGTCAACACCCCGTTCCGTTGACTACTACCACCACCACTGACCAGGTTGAACATCATATGCCATTTCCCTCGAAGCCCGTCAATCTGTCACCGTTTCAGTCGAGGTTGAAGCGATATCCTGCACTGTTCGGTATTCCTTTTCTTCTCATCGTAGTTGGCGCCTCGTTTGGTCTTCAGACTTTCACGCAAACTCGATATGACCTACAGGACCACAAAGTCAAACAGGTTTGACTTAATCATACGGAATCATATCATGTACTTAATTTCTCATAGATGAGCAACGAGCAAGCTCTAGGTCTCGATCGCAAGAAGAAAAAGTTTGACATTAGGGAGGAATACTATGTGAGTTTTCGTTAAGCAAGTTTTTCAAGGTCTTACTAGTGTGAATGTATCAGAAATTAAGTGCTGCTGGAGAGCAAGATTGGGAACCCAAAAGAATTGCAAGACCCAATGACTTCCCGGAACTGGGTGTTCCCCCCACCGAGCCTCCAGCCAAGTCTTGATATGTCTCAGAATGCCGGCTGTGAATCGCTACACTCTTAGCCACTCGGCGTCCCGTGCTCGATGCAACCTTCGCTCCGACTTGTGTGATAGGCGATACCTCAGCTCTCGTAGCAGTGGGAATACGCGGACATAACTCACTGTTGCACATCAACTCTACCGCATACGACGATGCGCAGATCAGGAGCGAGTGTACCTTAGTCCTTTCTATTCTGTCACACTGCTACTCCATATTGTTATTCTGATGCGCCATATTGTTCCGGGATGACATAGCGACGACATATCATGTACAGCTATCTTTATATCGTGAGTCATAGACCAAGATAAAGACTCTTTGTTTGTCTGCTTTTATCTGTCATTCTTCGTGGTGGGCTATTTACTCACCAGCGCGTGAGCAACAGGGTTGTTACAGTCGGTCAATATAGTCAGTCCTTCATGGATTTTCTGAGCAACGGGCGAAAAACGCCTTCCTAATACATCTGTGAACTCCCAAATTGGAGCGATACCAAACGAAGAGGCTCTAATGACTCCCGAGTACCGCATGCACCGCAACCGACTCTGCAATAGCAGTGAGTCAGCATGTCCACACGCGGCATGACCTCGAATGCCATGGTGCCCGGATGGATATCATGTCGTCATATGATTTTCAGTGATCCGATTCTCGACGGAGACAAAGATACGGTCTAAAATGCCAGGGTTGCAGAAATTAGTGAGTGGAGCCTCGTGTGATGACGAGGAAAACTCTTCAACAACATTATGGTGTCTTGCACGAGAGGCTTCAAAGCTTCATCGCTCGACAACGAAGCTCATCTACAGCTGATACCGCACAACACGGTCTAAGGGTTTCAGGGTCTTGCCGGAGAACCATGACAAGCCTCAGGGTGTTTGAAGCACATGTAAAGTTCATACTGATACATTCACCAGAGAGTAAAACCGTTCCCAACGGAAAGAAAGAGGCAGAATGATCAAAGATCTAGTGAGATGTGTCTAACCAGACTCCCGATGGTCCACGTGGAGTATGCGGGTCAATGACCAATAATGAATTATCAAACTTCGGATGAGCGAGGTACAAATATTATGTACCCGCGCCGCCTTTTAAAATGAATACTTCCAATACCTCTAAAGTTTTGCTTACAACGACCGGAGGCTTCTTCTATGTTATTAAAATGATATCTGGCACCAGGGTATACTGAAGTCGGGCCGTAGCCTATCTGACTCGGGTGATATTCTGCGGGCACGAAAGTGGCAAGTGCTAACTGGTAAACATAATACCTATCCGAGGGGGGATATAGTATTGTGCATCACAATGCCAGGCTGCAGGATTTTACCTGATAGATTATGATACCGGTAGATTGAATCTGCAGAGATAAAAATTCAAGCTTGGTTACGTGTCAATGTGTGTGTACCCAGTTGTGGCGCTTTCAGTGTATCGCGCGAGTGCTTAGGCGCCACGGTGCATGAGAACACATTAATTTCTGAATGCACGCTTGCAAAGCGTTAACAAATGGTTTCGGACGCAAATGAGCTATACATGGAGTATGAAAAGATGAGCATCTGAGTACGCGACAAGCTTATCAGATCACGACTGGAGTCCCAGTTTTATGAAAAGCAGCATACGAAGCAGATCACGCCTGGTCAGAGTTTGTTGCCCCAAACGTGAATGAGGCACAGTCCAACAGATGTCTGTGGAAGACCTTAGTCAACAGGCTCTGATTCTGCAAAATCATAAACTAGGCCTTCCACGCGTGGGGAACAACTTTGTATAAGATGGTGAGTACAGTGTGGAAGTTTGTTGGAAAATCTTTCGCTGTGGTCTTCTGCAGGAGCTTGGCACTCTGCCGGATTCTACCCACAGAATACTGCTCATACTACCAACAGAGTAACCTCTCCTGCTGGCAATCTGCGGGACTAATAGCCTGCATTTTTGAAGCACCAGCAAGCCCGAGTCCGGCAAAGATGTTCTTGAGTCTGACTTCGGGGTGCATTGTTGCTGCTTCCCGATAGCCTATCGTTGCCCGAGCTCGCGTGATTACTACACTGCTCAAATAAGTCAGAGGATGTCATAAATTCGGCAGGATTCGACTATGACAGACACACCTATCCATTTTTGGCTGTCAAACCCCAATCCGTATGCCTTTTGTTGATTTCATACACCTCTATGAATCATGATCTGTGATGGTCGGTGCTGGGATCAGCTGAGACCTTTTGGGCGTTATCTTCGGAAATTACATGCCACGCAATCAGACTCGAATATATGAAGCTCGGGGAAGGGTTCTTTCAGCAATAACCTTTGCTAGTAGCAGGTTGAACTCACAGCTGCAAAACAAGAATGTCTATGGCGTCTCAACCTCCACCACCTAACAAATGGATTTCTTGGTTGTCGCAAATTTATAGTTCGGGCAAGGGCCCGGTACTCGGTACGGTCGATGTCCAGGAAATCGAGGACAAAGCCCGCGAGGTATGAAGGACAACTCTAGTATGTTGCAGCATTCGGATGGTAGAGCTGAGCCTGAACGAGTTTTGACAGTTGCATTTCTGTATACACTGAAGAGTGCAGGTACCTGTTCGACCGACGATGCTAATAGGAAGGCATTTGAAAGGTGGAAGCTCGTCCCACGCGTGTTAAAAAACGCCACATTGCGCAATGTTGAGGCAAGTGCGCGTTGAAAATGGTCGATACCAAGGACTGCCTAATCCCTTCCATCAGACGACAATTTTGGGTATGAAAGTCTCTTCACCAATATTCGTAGGACCAGTCGGCAAACAAGGTCTAGTGCATGCCGACGGAGAGCTTGCAACAGCTCGTGCAGCTGCAGCAGTCGGTGTACCGATGGTCCTAAGTTCTTCTTCGTCGCGGTCCCTTGAGGATGTAGCAGAAGCCAATGGGCCGAATGGCCAACGATGGTATCAGTTTTACTGGTGAGTACCGTCTTGTATCATACAGCGAAACCTGAGTACATTACAGGCCTCGTTCTTCCGATGTGGCATTGTCCGTCCTCAAACGTGCGAAGGAAAATGGGTATACTGCTCTTGTTATCACGGTTGACACGATGATTATTGGATGGCGATCACACGACCACCGCATCGGATACAGCCCAGCGGGACATGGATTCGGCGTCCAACAGGGTATGGCGGACCCAGTCTTTATGAAACGCCATGGACTCGTTGCTCGACATGAGCGTCCAAAATTTCCATTTGATCAGGAAGAGATCAGAAAGAAAGCCGCTGCAGGTGACGAAGAAACGAAACAATCGATGTTCCTTGCAAGCCAGTGGCTTGCCGAGACAGGGTCTGGGATCTTCAGAACATGGGAGGACCTTCAATTCGTCAAGGACAGCTGGGATGGTCCCATCTTGCTCAAGGGGATACAAGCTGTCAACGTGCGTTCACCCAGAGTCGCTACGAGCTATCGCTGACGCAAAGTATCACCAGGACGCGGAGAAGGCGATCGACATGGGCATCGATGGGATTGTTGTCTCTAATCACGGTACGTATCACTGTCGACGTTGTCTGTTTGTTCGCCACTGTGTTGAATTGGGATATCTAGGAGGTCGTCAGATAGATGGCGCGATAGCTTCATTGGACGCTCTTGACATGATCATGCGCTCACAGAAAGTTCTTGACGCGCAAAAATCGGGCAAACTAACTGTCCTATTCGATTCCGGAATTCGAACAGGAAGCGACATAATTAAGGCTCTTGCAATCGGAGCACAGGGTGTTTTAAGTATGTCATCCACCGTCCTTTTTGTTTCCATCTTATAATCTTTGTTCAGTTGCACGACCGATTGTTTATGGGCTTGCGATAGCCGGCCAAGCGGGAGTAGAGCAAATCTTGATGCAAAGCATCTGTGATTTACACGTGACGATGGGTTTGTGTGGATTTAGTGATGTGAATGACCTGACAGGTAAACGAGATGAACTATTGGTCAAGGTAGACTATGGAATAGGCACACGTACATTGGTGAAGTCGTCGATGTAGACCACCTTCTCTACTCCACTGGTCTCGGTAATATGATCTGGTTTGTAAATTTAGATTCTCTGGGGTAGCGCTACCGTTGTGAGTATCTTCACCTACCAACCTCCTTCACCTCATGAACATCCAAGCAGTCGCGCAAGCAACGCAAATCAAGTCAGGACGATGTGCTTGCCAAAGGAGCAGACGAAGAAAACATGACAGATCACGATGACGATGGGGCTACAGACTAAGCCTTGGCAATGCGGTGAGGCGGGAGTGATACACAAGTTTCCACCGCTGTGATGCAGTCTGTCGTCATTCGCCAAGCTGGTGGCATCCTCTTTATCATCTGCAAAAACTGCACCATTCACCAAAATAATTTTCCGATGTAAATCATGCCGCTCCTGACATGAGCTCTGGACTGTACCAGATGGCTTTGCGGTATCGACCTATAGTGGAAAAGACAGCCTGAGAATAGTCGAGTGTGAGAGTGTTGAAATCAGGATGATAGCGGTTTTTTTCCTGCTGTGCCATGTCGTCTTACGGTCGTGAAAGCGCATGGTACAGCAAGATCCAGACTTCCAAGGAAATGGTCATTCTGGAGCCAAAGTTTGAGGTGGACTCTAAACATCTTTTTTTTCAGTCGAAGTTTCAAGATGATGATCGTGCGGATGACAGGCTACAGCCAGCCACATCGAGCGGTGTTTGAACTCATCTGAACTTGCCTATGTATCATCATCATCTGGCTTTCTGCGAGCGGGGCATCCAGAGCAAGGCAAACAAACAGCTTCAAATACCTTGATTCAGGATTTTTGCGCTCCTCCTGGCTAAGTACCTCCCATAGCGCTTACATTGGGTTAACATTGGATAGATTTCCAATTGAGATCGTCACATTTGAAGCAATACGCCCAATATCATGTTGGCCTGTAGACTCGGACAGTTGAAGGTGTGCATTCGTCATTTATTTTGCAACGCATCCGGCTCATCGGTACACTATCGACACCGCAGTGAGTGTTGAAGTGTTCCAAACTCGCATGCCTTGTTGTTCCAGGGCCAGATTGATACAATAAACGTTCGGACAGCCCGATCATTATCCTGTCGCCCAAGCAACGCTCAAGAGGGTGAAGTTCGACATTAGTCGATGACCCACCAGCATACTCCGCGTGGGATGCGAGATGCTGGGTTCACATAGAACATTCTGCCAGTGGACGCTCCTGTGGGAGTGAAGTGACTTCTCATGGGCCTCTGACCTACTATCAGCACGGCGGCAGTAATCGCTTGGCAGAATGCTGCCAGTCTGCCAACAGCACTACGTGGGGAACGGTTTTGCTATCTGGAAGTGGCACTGTGTTGGTGAGAAACTCACTGGCATATGCTTAATACTACTCCCTTGCTGAGCGAAGTTCCCCGGCTTGCAAGATCCTGAAGCCCTTTGACTGTGTTACACATTCATTTGTCTTTGTGTAAGCTGCGTACGATATGGAATCTGGATATGATCGTTTAGGAAGGTTTGGAGCATCAGATGATGCCCTCATTGATATGACTAATCAGCATGATGTTCTCTTATATTGCGCTGGGGCATAACTTGAAAGGCTCCATAGGAACAGCCGCAGATGGGCCAAGGACGTAGAAGTTATCCAGCCTCATCCAGAATTCTGTTACAGCGTCCGACTCACTAGTTAGTTTGCTGGCCTCGCACTGATCGGCCGGCGAGCGTTGAACTCAATGTGATATCGTATCCAGGACCTCGTCCCGCCATCATGGCTTGAGGCACATTGGCCCCAGGCATGGTGCTGCTCTGTTTCTCTACAGATCACGTTCGTGACGGCACCATCACCAATAAGCAAGGACAGGTGACCTACGAACTCATCGCATCCACCATTCTTCATGAAGCGCACTACTGCGATTCGGAAGATGATATCAAACACCCCGCCGCTGTACTCGAAGACGAGAACTGATGAATCGAATATCGAGTTAGAACCTGGACCCGATGATCCAACGTTACTCCTGTGGTCGAAAATCAGTGGTAATATAACGAGTTTCAATTGGCAGCTATGATTGATAGATTTCTACATCAGCATTTTCTTCCATTACACGCAGTCCACGCAAGTGGGAAATGTCCCCGTACTTTAATATGTTAGCTTCCACCTCTCTATGCTTCCCTCTTTGAACTATCCTGTATTCTACAACGGATATACTTGTATTGCCTAATGAAGGAAGGCCTCTAAGCTTGAACTCTGCAGGATGAGTAACATGGTTGCTGTAGATCATGATGCTGAAGAGCGTAGCTATGAACGCTCCATGTGATAGAACGAGTAGGTTCCGACATTGGCCCCCTAAGACGTCAGGTTTGGCGACGGAGATGTGCGGTATTATCACCCGATTATACCAAGTGATGCAACGCTCAACAAGAGCTTCGTCTGTCTCTATCGAGGACAACTCACTCCTTCCTTCCATGTCGATTGGGCCCTTCTTGCCTTGCAATTCGCCCATAAACTGTCCAAAGATGATCAACTCTTTAACAGTTCAAAGTTGATTTCGATCCTCACCCTTTCTCGCAACGCGCTGTCTTTGACCAACTCGGTGCCAGTGTGGTACTGGAGAATCCTCTCGGCAGTCTACGACATATGAGTTATCGAGTGTCATCAAGCCTGTAAGTATCATATATAGTCTTAAACGTTTGTCCTCACCCTAGAAGCTCGCTGGAGATCACTCGTGAAAGCTTTGTCGAATGAGACAGATTTGAGCGCCTCTGCAGTTATCGCAGCTTGTGCAAGACCAGTGGCATTGAGCTCTGTATCCAGCTGACCCTGAATTATTCTGTTGCGATTTGAGTCTGTTTCTCCGTGTCTCACAACATACACACGAGCAAGGAGAGTCATGGAGCTGAGGAAGAACGGACTTGGGCTATTACCAGGTTTGGTCTGATCGCCTTATGAGTACTGATTAGTTGACTACCTTTACAATGAAGACAAAAGTGCACTGGACATCATTTATTTAATCCATAAACCTCCACAATTCGCCCAAAAATCAGGTATCCATTCCATGCCACGAAGTTTAGATCCCTGAATCACTCGAGGATATGAATTTGCAGATAATGGAACCGTCAAGTATGCCCAAGGAAAACGAGTTCATCATAGCAGTGCCCTGATCTCGCCGACCACATTCCTGATTCTATCGTCAGGGAATGCTGGGAGAGCCGACATTACCGTTTGCAATTCCGCGGTTTGTGCAGAATCTAACGAAATGCCGCGCGTGTTTCCGGCATAGATCTTGATCGATGAGCAAACAGTCTTGGTACGGAATAGAAGGACGCTTACCACGTTCCCCAAAGCAACCAGGGTGCGATAGGTAACCTCTGCATCATCTGTATTTGAACGTAGCAACTAGGGATTGCTTAGTTGATGATCAAGAACATGCTTCTGATAAGTACCTGAAAAACTAATCCAGTGTGTTGGTTCACCACATCTCTAGCGACAGACGTTGTTAGGTAGGCACAGGAGAAACTGTTTCGACATTTAGTTCTTTTTCCTGATACGGTCAAGCGAAGTTCATACTTAAAAAGGATGGTCGCCACAGCTACGCGCTGAACCTTCGTCAAAAGTGCGTAAGGTGTATGGCTGAGCGCTTCGAAAACCTACTTCTCGTGAGAACCACCGCTTTGATCGAAAAATGAAGTCACCCACCTGCTCAACCCACTGTCCTTCGTCTACAGGAGTTCCCTCCTGGAAACAATTAGCTATCGTGCGAAATAGTAGCAGGATATTCGTTTCTTGAGCCTTCGACATAGCCTTCCCATGTGATCGGACTTCAGTCCAATCGGATGCCTTGAACAATGATGCGATATATCGTTCTCGTCCACCGGGGGCTGCAGAAGCATCTGCGCAATATGCGGCTACCAATCTGGTCAAGTCCATCACTTACAGTAGTGAGTAAAATAACGAAATGGGCATGATATAAAGCTTACTGGGGAATCGCTGGGCCGCCGGCCATCGCTCTAGAATCTGGATGATAGTTTCTGCATGAGAACCACCGAGGGGTGGAAGAGTGACATGGGAAGTTGTCGAAGTGACTTGGGAAAGATAAGTGAAAGCTTCCTCGATTATCTCCAACTCTTCGGGGTACATTGCAAGGGTTGCGGTGGACTGGTATGTGTGGATTTAGAAGGTTGTTCAATGTGGCTCAGTAGCGTGCGTACAATTTCGTTGCGTAGGGCTTCGTCAAATTGGTACAATTTTGCTTGCATTGCTGATACATTAGCTTGTTTGAAGGAGACGAACTTGGCCTGCGGAAATTAACATTGAGCTCGACTATTGCTGTCTAGAAAAATCTTACATATGGTATGATTTTTGCAGCTGAAGGTGACACCGAAGGAACTGGAGGTGTAGGGATAGGAGTGCCGCTGTATCGAGCTGCACCCGTAAAAGGATCCATATAAGCCGTAGACGGGGCTGGCGCTGCTGAGGTAGTGGCAGCCTGATATCTTGATGCCCCTGATGGTAATTGAGTACATGACGCACTACTGAACATCAATGCCCACCGGTGTACGGGTCAACGTATTCACTGCTGGCGCCTAAATTGACACCCGAGGTATTCTTTTCTATGAACTTAACAACTTCGTCAATGTAGTTCGTTGACAAATCATTTTGTTCCAGAAAGCGTTGAGCAGCAGCATATGGATTCTCTGTGATGAAAACAAACATGAGATATATGTTCACGCCATGAGAGTATGAGATACTTGCCGGACACATTGAATGGGAGCTTTAGTGGAGGTGCGCCTTCCTGCACATCAACGTCAAAAACGTAATCGTACTCCTTCCCATTGAAAAGCTGCTTCCTTCCAGAGCCGACGGCATCCACCACATCGCCAATCTTCTGCCAATTTGACGTTGCAGTATCCCACTACACCAGCTTAGATGATCATCTCTTTGATTCATAGGTACTCACCTGATGCGCCTCAACAAGGTCGCCGTTTTTTATCATTTTCACTTCTCCAGGTTTCTTACCTGTGTAATTTGAATGAAAGCTCACAAAAATCTATGAGTAGTGACCGCCAACCTGGATGGAGCAATGCATCTGGACCAGGAAGATCAGATTTCTTGACGTCACCCACTTGCTGCGATGGAAGAGCCTGGCTTGCGATATGATCTTCGAATTCCTTCAGCTCCGCTGCGCTGGCCCAGCGATCTTGAGATTCGCTAAACACACGAACAATACCGTCGCTACAGCCACTGACAATATCTCCATTTGGCATCGTGGATACAGCCCAAACAGATATTGCCGGGTGAACGATCATTTGTACACATTCACCGTCTGATGTCTGTGAGTAGATGCCATGGGGTTGGATGTAGTTCAATGACGCACCTCTCCACACCCTCACAGAACGGTCTTCGCCGCCTGATACTATTCCTCCATTCGGAAGAACTGACAGGCTGTACACAAAGGAGGTGTGTCCAGATAGCGTGTAAACCACATCGCCCTGCATTGTCCACACCCTAATCTCACTAGTCCAAATCAGCCACCCCATTTCGTCCAAAAATAGCGAGAATATGTTACCTATCGTTAGAACATGAAGCAAAGCCTATGTCAGGTATTAGGGTCAAGCCACGAACCGCGTCCTTATGCCCCTCATAAGTCCGCATCATCTTGTGTTGAACCCAGTACTTGATGGTTTTGTCCGCCGAAGCTGATTGAAGAAGGTTCCGTCACTGACCTATCAGACGTTGAATGGTCTTACGCACCGGTCAAGAATTGTTCGTCGTCAATGGCAATGACTCCCCAAACTGCCTGCTGATGCCCCTTCAAATCATACACTAGCTGGAATTGTTTCCAGACTTTGGCAGTTCTGTTGGATTCAATGTCAGAGTACGCTTGCTGAACAATGGATGATTCTCACTTGTCCCATGACCCAGAGATGATGGTGCCTGATTGGCTAACATTAAGAGTACAAACATTATCGGTGTGTCCCACCAGCGAATATTCAGGATCCTCTTTCTGTGCTGGACCGAGAGTGAAGATATTGATGACCATATCCTGCCCCCCAACAACAGCGTATCCTGCCTTTGGTCAATGCTGCATGAGATGATGATAACCACTGGCAAGCCTACCTTGCGGCGCTTCAGGTGACGGAGGAATATATTGTACAGCATTGACGAATTTTGACCCAGCTCGCAGAATAGATGAAGGAGCGAAGGGGACAGTTAGTGATGATCGTTTCCAGGAGATCGCAGTGGAATCTCGCGATGCTGAAAGGATAATATTTTCTGTTGGTGAAGCTACCGCACGAACCTATAATATTTAGTACGATCAGATGAGTCCCCCTGCGAGAACTAATGGATTCGAAGAACCTACATCTGACGAATGAGCTGATAGTGTGGCTGATAGCTTGTAAGGCATCGGATGAACTCCTTTCGCAGACGCGCAGAATATAATGAAGGTGAACAAAAAGACCACAGTTGAGGGATAAGATTACTGGAGGTGATCGGGTGGATGAAATGAAGGGTTAGATATTCAGAACAGTCAAAATCTAACCACGGTCACGGTACGATTCGCAAACTGTAGTTCTTGGTGTTTCTTGAACTTTCGTCAAGTCATTCGTCAATTATAGCAAAACAGATTGGATTGTATACACATGTAGCTAAGTTGAGCGCTGCGCAGTGGGCACAGACGAGGCTAGACCACAATTGTGAATGGCCCACGGGTGTCAATTTCGTGTATAAAGTTCTCGACCATTAATAACTATAATGTACACCACGCTAACGAACCCAACAGTCGTGAAATCGACAGCAGGGAGATACGGAGGTGTGAACTATGCCATGCACCATTACTTCATCTCCTGCGAGGGCCTCTCGATGCAGACCGTCGACTGTAGACTTGATGTAAGTACGACGAATTGCCAAATCGTGAGGGGATAAAAAAGAGGGTTGTTGACAAATTTCATATTTAATTGTTTAACCAGGTTTAGGGCAGGCCTTGCATCCCTAGAGTGCGAGTTTGCCCGAGGCGGTATTACCTCACAGGATGGGCAACCGCGTGAGTTCAACGTAACAGTAGATCATTCGTTGATACGAAGCGACCCGTTCACCGTGGCATGCACGAATAGATCGAAGATCCATGTAAACCTGGACATAAAGGCCATCGCATACTGTTTACCCTGAAACTATATCTGACTGACTTGGCATCAAAGTTTGACAGAAGTTATACTTGCTTTATACCCTCGAAACTTAACTTTGTCAGACAGTGACCACTGCTGTCCAGACTTTCCGGGAGCCATCAAAGCAGTCTGAATGCCACAGATACGACGGCATAGATGTGAAAATTATTTGACCTAACACGTTCTTTCGACGCTGAAATCAAAGAATAACGTTGCGCTGCTGTTAACAACTTGCGAAACTCGCACGGGTAATCAATGAATGCGGACAAAATTGATCGAATGATCCTAGAATTCCCAGCGAGCGAAGGGAGTACACAGCAGAACTAGCTTGGAGCGGCACATAAGAGTTCTTGACCACAATACGGCAAAACGTCTTCACGGAAAGTTTCAGTCGCAAAGATCAACGCCTGAGCCGATCGATATCTTGACCCGTTTCCCGCGGTGCACTAAATCCGCTGCAGCTTTGCGCTTTTCGGCTTGATGGGCGACCTCTAGTGTGAGGACATTCTGCGTCGCTTCTTGGGTTTGAGATTCGTCATCAGAGGAACCCGCCAGCGCCGTGACCTCAGGACGCAAGTTGGGAGCTACAATTTCAGTCGAACTATGTGTGGGTATCAGCATATAATCAACTAGGTCACATGAAAAAATGTTGATCTTACGCCACTAAGGTTTGTCCTGCCTTAGATTTACTTCGCTATTATCTTGCGTTAGCAACGTGACATACGATGATTAATATCTCTTACCGTGTCGGATAGGCCCATAAGGCGATTCTCGACCTCGGTCAGTGGGTTGAAATAATCAGCGTAGGCTTTGGATCGTTTCGCCTTGGAGAGGAAGACATATTTGGTTTTTTGAAGCTCCTTCTGCTTTTTAGTTTTCACGTTTTTCTTGCCCTTTTTCGCGTGGGAGCGGGTAACGCCAGTACCCAACTCATCAGAGACTATGCTTTCAACCGCAATAAAACCTGGAAAGACATTGACATTGAAAAGACCGGCGTATACCGATCGTACACCCACCTTCCTCTTCTAGCCTCGTCAGAAGCTGACCAACCAGTGCAGTATCACACCCTTCGATGATACATGAAATTGAAACAACGAGGAACAGGATCGGAATCGAACTAACCAGCATGCACCTTGAAAAGCGACGCCGAAGATGGCTGATACACCTCATAAATTTTGATAGCCCTCCTGAAAAAAAGTAAGCAATTTTGACGCATGGGACAAGCCATTGTGCACCTGAAGAGGGCGAGGTCTTTGTATCGGGCAATGATATCAGCATGAATCTTCCCTGCGATGATGTCCCACAGGTGGGAGTCGCGGAGACGACAATCAAAGCAAATAAATTGAGCAGGGAGACGCTTGTCTTGTGCACCATGATACCTACATCACATTTAACGAAAATCACGTATTCAGAAAGGAGACAATTGCGCACCCCATGCACCTAGTCAACCGGTCTTTGTTAGAGGGCTTGCTTTGTACGAGAGACAAAAATGCGTACCAAACGTGGAACCAACGGTTGCAACCACCGTCACATAGCAGAGAAGCATCATCGATCTTCTTTGAGGGTAGATTAGCTTGTGTTTCTTTCCATTTCGCTGCGTACGCACCGATACCCCACAGTCACAGTCAAGTTGGCCTTCATCCATCCGCTTGGAACGGTTGCTACGACGAGTGATCTGCGGACCAGTCGTACCTGGATTGCAGGATGGTCCAGACGCTTCCAGCACCTGTGTCTCCATATCTGTAAAAAATCAGTTTAGTGTAATACAATACGTCAGATAGACGTCGTACCCAACATCTCTGAATCAGGCACAGTGGATACAACATTCCTCATTCCAAGTAGATCCTGGAGGTACTGAGTATCAACCTCTTGAGTGGAGATAGCCGAAGCGGAGGAGGCAACATCAGAAGCAGGCAAGGACGGGGCCTTATTCGATGAAGGAGCGGGTATCGGCGATCCCATGACAATCTCCTGAGTAGCTGGGATCTGCTGCGTTTCCTCGATGTCACGAGCAGCCTTTCTAATGTTCTAACGCGAGCATCAGTGAGGTAAGAGAAGGAACTGGCGAGTGACAAACCAAGTCTCCGACGCGTACCGGGGTCGACTCCGATATACCGTCATATTGGACATGAGCGGGAGACGAAGTGACATTGACTTGAGGGAGTGGTCGAACCTCTCCATCTTCGCTGCGTATACCGATGGGGGCAATTACTACGTCACCACCGAACCTGGCCAAAACAATGCCTTCGTCGATTACCATTTCACCCTCAGCATCCTCGTCTTCATCTGCGCTCCAGACAATATTGCGCTCTAACGCATCTTTCTTCTGCAACTGTGCGTCCTCTACTCTAATTCTCGCCTCTTCAACCGGAGTCAACCTCGGGGCTGTGTGAGACGTGATACCCGCGAATGGCGCATTGTTGTCTTCGGATATAGAAGGAAGATACGATGATACTGAAACCACTTTCATGTCGAGGCTAAATAAAGAAGATGGATCTAAGCTAATACATTGGAATTTTTGATGCTTACCCATGCCATCCTGCACTCACTTGGCCGATACTCGTTCGTTCTGGTACTTCATTTGCCGCATGGGTAGTAAAGAACCATTTGTTAGCTTCAGCATCTGCCGCCTGGAAATGAGGGGGCTGATAGTCATCTGGGGCATCTTCGTTGAAGAACAACTTGAAATTTCCGTAACGGTTTTCTGTGCGATAGAGTTACTGTCAAACTCAATAAAAAATGACATCGACACGAACTTGGAAGGTTTTCCATCTGATTGATAGTAGTTATAAGCGATTTGATCATTGCCTGAAACGAGGCGCTTGAGAACGAAACGATTCCAGATAAGTAAGGATTGCTGCACCTTAACACTCCTCTTAACCTCCCCGAGAGTCGGCATCTGCCCTTTCTTGAGGGCCTCAGAAACAGGGTCTGGGCGCGCAAGAGACATTTTTGATAACTGATCTCCAAGAGTCATGATCGGTATGGTAGTATGACTTCCAGGCAGCTTGTGGTACTTAACGTCCCTCGTCCATTTAGTACAATATATACCTGAAAGCCTTAGACACTCACATGGAAATTGAAGGTGTAAGCCTCCACAATGCTGCAGGAGTAGCCTGTCAGAGATCTTGTAATGATTAACGACTAAAATCGACGAACTTGTTGGGATCTTTGCTGTCCTACACTGAACATCAGAAAAGAGTCCCAAGTATATCTAATCTTACCAAGTAATCTCACCAAGTAAATGCCGAATATAACTTTCCGAAGGTATTGCTTGTCTATGGCGTCAAATATGCCGTTCTCCTGAGAAACATGATTATATGCGCGTCTACCATGGAAAACAGATGCATATATGCGCACCAGGTAGTCAATTATACGATCCCCTTCATTAGTGAAACCTCGGTTGAGGGTCATCAACTTGAAACCGCTGATATTCAGTCCGGTAGTGCCGTCTGAAGAGAAAGAGCCAGAGGAGGAGGCTCGTCCATTGTTTCGAGACGAGAGTCGATCTACATTGTTTTGATTAGTGTTCATTAATCGCTGTTCGCAAACGATACTTACATTCACTAAAGTTCTCGGCCGGTAGAAGACCCCTGAAATTGACAGGTAAGATGAGAATCGGAAAGCTATAGTAAACACACCTCAAGTATGCGATACACCCTAGACCGGCTTTAAGCAACGTCTGAACGCATTCTAAACTCTGCTTATTGCTGATCGTCTGAGGAACAATCAAGTCCAGGCTGACGACATCTCGTGGATTAATACCTGAGTTTCCGTGTTGGCTAATGTACATTGCATCTGCATGGCTGTCAAAGTGCTTCTGGGGGTCCCAGAACTTTAAAAGTCAATCGCTGGTGATTACTTGGATGACAAAAGACGGAAGGAGATGAGGTTGGCAAGAGTCCCAAGACGCGACGCGTATTTGTATCGCATGGGAGATGATCACGTGACTCATAACCCGAATTGAGTGTCTCAGATCGATTCACTAGCTAGTAAGTTGCAACATCATCGAATCTTGTAATTGAATGGTCGAGATCAATATCTCAACTATGCATCGATGAGGCTGTGAAGGGCAGTAAAGTTTGAACTATCAAATCCAGCGGTTCGAGTCGACATTGTCACAAATGCGGTACAAAGACAATGCTATCACCAAGCTATCAGACTTGCAACATCGAAAATACACGTAGGACTTACGTTTGATACGAAAATTTGTAACATCATGGTTGTCCCGCGCCAATAAGGCTTGTAATTTGTGTGTCAAACCCCTCACTGCGAACTGGCATCTCCGGAGTGTGGAATGGGTTCTTCATGACAGCGTCTGCATAGGCCTCATACACTCTCTGAAGAACCGAATCCGCTGTTGCCTCTGCCAAGGATGTGAGAAGAACGAATTTGGTTCCTATGAAATATCAATGTGAGAGAGCTGACTGTGACGCGCATTAGACCAAGCACCTGTCGCGGTCAACAAGATGGTCATCTTAAACGACTCCCCTTCAATGACCTGTGCACCTGAGCTTGAGCCAGCAGGGGACAAACGACTTGTGATAGCGTGAATTCCATGCAGAGTGCCAGCGAGGACTAAGTACTCGTTTGATGTGAGCTGAGCAAGACCATCTGTCAGAGGGACTCAGTCATGGACAAGGCTAAACTCATATACATTCTAAACAACCTGCAAAATTGCGCTGGTAGACCAAGCCACCAGCTTTGTTGATGACCTTTTACACGTTGCTTGAGCAATTGTGTGGGTAATTACTTGACGAAAGGAAACCTACCCACAGGCTAAAGATTGCCATAGGCGCTAAGGAGAAAGTGGCCCATCATTGCGGATCCAGAAATTCGCGTTTTACGGGTCACGCCGATTTACACGTAGACAGGCTCGTCTTGCTGGCAATCTGCTAATCGACCGTTCACCGTATGTTAGGCTCACATTCTTCAGTCAATGGAACATCGTCTACAGCATCAGTCTTCATTTCTGAGCCTGCTTCTATTGTTTGTATCATGGTGCACACTAACGATACAAGCCTCGACGCTCGGGCAACGTGAATTCATCCAGTTGACCTCAGAACAAATTTTGGCCCTTGCAACCACAAAGGACCCAGTCGCGAATGTAGACACCAGCAATCCCACTTCTCATCTTTCGAAGATCCTCATACCACGCGCTGGTATGTGTCTGTTCTACTTTCCAAGTCAACTGAGACAAGTTTAACAGTGGGTAGTGAAAACATCACCCTCGTTCGTGAATATATCGTGTCTACCCTGAAGGTTATGGATTGGCACGTTGAAGAAGACACCTTTACCGACAACACTCCGTATGGCCTACGTTCATTCACCAACATCATTGCGACAAAAGACCCAACTGCCTCCGGCCGTGTAATATTGTCTGCACATTATGACAGCAAATTCTTTCCAAATTACCCAGATAACCAGGTGCCTAACAGATTTTTCAATCATTCGCCCAGGCGACTGTATGCTAAGCCCATCAGTTTGTAGGTGCGACAGATTCTGCAGCACCATGCGCAATGATGCTCGACCTAGCAGAGACTTTAAACCCCCTTCTTGACCAACGCAAACAACGTCTTGAGGACGGATCCGATGATGAAGACGAAGACGTGGCAGACACAACCCTCCAACTTGTGTTTTTTGATGGCGAGGAGGCCTTCAAAGATTGGACTGACACAGACTCTGTTTATGGGGCTAGGTCAGCAATTCTCTCGAGGATGTCATATCAGAACTAAACCAATGATCTACTTCCGTTTAGACATCTCGCGGACAAATGGTCAACGACTTATATAGCGCCTAACTCCAAACGACGGTTACTTGAGCACACAAGTTTGACGGAGTTATCGACCATAGAGCACATCATTCTCCTCGACCTCCTCGGCGCTCCGAACCCAACAATACGATCTTATTTTATTGATACAGCTTGGTTATTTGATGCTATGATTTCCGCTGAAACTCGGCTCAAGGATGCTGGTGCTCTTGATGAAGCCGAAACGTCTACAAACTTTCGCAGTTTCTTTTTACCTCGAACAGGTTCTGGGAACCAATATAATTACGGGTACATCGGAGATGATCACGTACCCTTTCTACAGAAAGGCGTCAATATTCTTCATATCATCGCATATCCATTCCCGCATGTCTGGCACACCCTTCGTGTTCGTTATCATTTTCATGTGCTTGTCATTGTTATTCATCGCTCATTCTCTAGGATGATGCATCAGCACTTGATGTAACAACCATGCGCCGATGGAACATGATATTACGCGTATTCATGTCCGAATATCTGAATCTTCGGCCCGAGATATCACAACCATCCCCTAAGCATGATCGTCTCCAACGTTCTGCCAGTGAATTGGTGAGATTCAATCTAGTCATTGATGTCTCATGCTCAGTAAATCATGGAGCCCAGTGACCTGGCTTCAGAAATAGGTTGACGGACCGAAAGATCGGATAATTTGATTCATTGATACCAGGCGATGATACAAATATCTGCGAATTACAGAGAGGAACGGAATACAAACTGAAAACCTGAGTGAAAAGCGCCGAATAAACATGTCTACAGCGCAAGGACAAGTGCTTTGTAATGCTTCACGAGTTCGGAGGCATCCACAGCAAGCTACGGGTGGGTGTCAAGTTAAGTTCTGTTGCTGTTTGAGAGAATGGCATCAGTCTCAGACCTTGTGCCTCTCTCGTGCGTCATCGAGGCGCGCCTTTGCCTGCTTCATCAATCTCTTTCGTGACTTACGCGTTTCCACGTCCGATGCATGGACTGTGCGCAAGGTCATCCTGGGTATATGCGCTTTGAATAGGCTAGTACTCACCCATAGCCTTCAACGTATCTACACTTTGTATGCGCTGGGGAACGACGCCATCGAGCAACGGAGAATACTCCGCACACAACGCACGAATTTTCTCCTTGGAGACCAGTCAATGAAAGAGAACACTTGGCCGTTCTCTATGAAGCTTACTTCATTAGCCTGGAGTCGCGCTGACAAGTCGACGCGATTTGCTTCGTGCTGCTCTTTTATACGGGCCAGGGTGGTCTGCGCCGAATTTCTGTCGAACGCAAAGGAGGCATTGCCTATTATGTAGAAGAATGCTGAGCGACTTACATGTGAGCGTCAAGTTCCTTGACGAGGTTGGCGCATTCTGTCCGAGCAGTTTCGAACGTGGTACTCATCCTAGCTTCTAACGAACTTGAATGAGGACTGTCGCTCTTTTTCTTACTTTGCAAGGTTGGCATCCTTCTTGGGAAAGTTCAGCAGACTGTCGTGGCACGCAGAAATGACGACCAACAAAGTGCTGTTTGTCTACCGCTACCAAGCGATGAAAGATCCAAGAGTCCTAATCATGGTGGTGCCTCAAATCATACCTGTGAGTTATAAAGTTTATCCTTTCACTGATGATGAACGCGATAAGCAGACTTGGTACAAAACTTCACGACCTATGCATGTATCACGACAGACGGTTTAGTGCCAACGCAGTGAAGTGTCTAATTGCTAGGCCTTCTTACCGTTGGCCACTCTAGTATTTGGTTATGGGCTTGAACGAAAAGTCGACGATGATAGCAAGTATAGCAGTGGCAGTGAGTGAACAACTTAGGAAAATTAGGTTGGCTTCTTGATTAAACGCACGGAACTGGAAGCCAGCACAGCCGCGCTCTACTACATAGTGCATGACCACACCCATACTAGGCAGTCGACTACATTAATAGGACTTACTATCTAGATTCTAGCGTGTACACCAATGGTTCCCAAAATAAGGCCCACGACATGAAGCAAAAACACCACTAGAGGAGGAGCATCTGAGGTCCTAAGATTGTACACGATGGTTTCTCGAGGTGATTTTACACTAATCAAGCAAGTAATCAGAGATTTCATACTGTAGTACGTGAACCTTCACCATCTTGGTGAAGCCCGGCGCTAGGGAGGTAGGGGTAGAGACTCAGAGTGAGACGGTTGTCATGTTCCAGCACGCTCGGAAGGAACTCGAAGATTCTTTCCATTGATGGCCGTAGATAGAGCACTATTGTGTGAGGATCATGAAACAGATACAAAGATAATATGGAGGTAATCATGCTTCAAGCTTCAAGGTTGATATATCAGCTTGCCGAAGAGGCGTGATGGTGCACTGCGTACTGGCGTACAAACTTGGGATTGCAGAATATCTTCATCCAAAAACGACACCAGCAGGATTTGAACCTGCGCACGGAAACCGTAAGAGATGTCACGTATTCGAATCTCTCGCCTTAACCACTCGGCCATAGTGCCATTGTCATGACTACGGCACCATGCCATCACATTAAGTTTGTGTTCTTACATCGAGTTTTGACTCTCCATGCATTATCATCCATTTATAGGCCTAATCGAGCCACACCCTCACAGGTCCACATGATATTGCGCTCAGCTTCAGCGCTAACGAATGTTCCTGCTACACGCACATGACGATGATAATTACACGTTTGTTGGTTTTTTTACGACTCGCAAGACCGCTGACTAAATGAGCACGGTGCTCCGGCTTTCCATAGGGGTGCCCTTGACGTGCTTGATATATTAAGTACCAGTGCTCTGCCAGGTATAAATACAAGGTTGTCGGCAGCATTCCATGATAAGCACGCACTACCATGTCTTCCATTCAGAACCAACACACTTACACCCTTAGAAATTGTGCGGGAGGTACTGTTATGGACCTTTCTGGTAGAGACAAATACTCCAGTAGGCATCATCCCTGCTCTAGCCTCTATCTAAGTCGGCGCTGACGTTGGATTCACCTGTAGTCATTGGTTTCAACAACAACAATGGTACCAACCAGGCGGTAATGCGTTAATCATCACGTCGCAGAAGAGTTGCACTGACAAAGTCGCGCTCTTCGCAGTGGATCTTCCAAGAGAATGATGATGGCTGGTTCATCAAGTCCGTCTACAATGATAGATATCTTGGGATCGAAGTCGATCCAGCCCATGGCACCAGGCTTGTCGCTGGCCCGTCCCCTTGCAAGTGGGACATCAGAGACTCTGACGTCCAAGGCTTCGAAGGCATTAGGTGTGCATGCCTTTCTCATGGCATATGTTTGGTGTGGATTGATTCATTTCACCCCCTTGGCAGGATATTGCTCCATGGCCAAACTTTGAGCGTGGAGCTGTCAGACTACGGAAATGCGAAAGGAGGCACACCAATTCGACTTGCGATCAGTTGGCATGGCTCCAATCAGATCTGGGAGCCTGTCAGGCGTGACTGGTATGTTTGATTCATTAGACAATGGTCAGACGCGTATATTAATCAACATTGTCAGATCCTTTCTACATATACTGTAAATTGTCATGTACAGCAGAATACTCATGAAAACCGAAATATTGTCTCTGGTCTAAATGATGAACTTTCTCGATATTAATCTCCGTTTGGTTGAATGCGGTTGAGACCGTGATCATATAGGTAAATTGTCTCCTTTCACCACGGATGCTTGACCGCGGGACGAGCCTGAACCTGGTCGCCTAGAGACTGATGGCAGGCGTTACACCAGCGTCGATGCGCATTGTGCGTTTTCGCAGCTATGGAAAGCGCAGATACTAACGAAGTGCCACAGCCAAACCACAGTCACAGTATATCTATCATGACTAGGTGGAAACTCGCATGTCCGATTTTCAAGTTCACTGGGACTGATCGTGTCATCGATAGCGGCGTTTTGCTAACAAAATCCAATTTTCGTCGCCAATCGGATTAAACGAGCCTCTTGCACCATTGATTAATATCATGTCCAAGTCGATCCTTGAAAGCTTGACTCAGACGTCATATATTGCTCTGCCCTGCATAAATATAAGCCCAGTGTAATTGTGTTGCGGCCAGGCTCATGCTTGACATTTGAACGGAAGAACTTGAGACCTTACTAATCAGTGAATTGAGGAGTCCTTGATATTGTACCTAGTTATGGCCTGAAGTTACATGAGCAGATGCTACCCCCTGAAGCACGTGAGCAAAGTCATGCGCGGTAATTTCAATGCAACGCGTCAATATCAAGTCACGCTTTACCTAATATATGCAGTATATGATTAGTCACCGTCACGCTAGGCGTAAGGGAGCGTCTTGAACTACTTGAGACGTCATCATCGTTCTGTCAAGCACTCCAATTCTTGCACAAGAACGATGGACTGGTGTGTTACTCTATTTCACATTTATGTTTCATCTGACTCAATGCTATTTTAGCCTGGAATTGAACATCCGCCAGCGAATCCTCTCGGACCTTGCTACCCTCAAGTCGAACACAGAAGAGCATATATTCACTACTCTTGAACTCATTCAATCCAAGTCCCAGCTGGAAGATGAGAAACACACCGCACTTAATGGTGAATCTAGGGAGGAAGTGGTTAATTTTCGTACATTTATCGTAAGTGCCCGCTCGATGCGTTTTGTTGACTTATTTTAAGGACGCAGTCCGAGGCTAGGGCTCACCGTGACATTTCTTTCGGGGAACTCGTCGCGAACTTTCCGAAGGAACATATCGCAAGGCATATCGATACCCTCATTCTCGTCCTAATGGATTTTTTGCACGACGTGCCACGTGTGGATTTTGACCGATGTCTCTCGTGGGATGGTATGTTATTTTTCGTATATTGTGGTCGGTGCTCCTGACGGTTTATCAGAGTGGGCCCTTCCTGACCAGCTGGTCTTCTCTACTGTTTCTGCCCTTCTGCGTATCTGCGGTGCACACCCAGAATACGCAGACAGAGCTGTCACGTCCATTATCACTTTCGTTACTGACACTGTTGGAAACCTGAAGGAGTCAAACTGTAGGCACTTCATTTGATTTTTGCGCTAGCATTCTGACCTTTATGTAGCCATAGATGTACTTACACACCTCATGCCTTCTGTTCACGGGTTGTACCGTGCAATCACTTCCACTCTCTACCCATGGACCGCCTCTCAATGGCGCATTCTTTCTGAGTCCCTCCAGTCCCTTGTTGCGATTCCGGTTCTTGAACGAATCAACCGTCTCCTACTCGACATACATCAAGAAGCCGAGACTAATCCAGACGCCGACACTACCTCCATCGCCTTCTGCCACACCTTTATTTCTCGGTACATAGCATTTGGACGTCCACTGAGTGGGTATTTTATCGTATGCTGTGTCATGGAGATGGAATGGACTATGCTCGCGCAAGCCCTTGCGAATACTCCTCTGGTGCATAAGGGCCAGGTGCGTGAAGCGGCGGCGGCGAACAAAGCGTGGGTGAACCTTATGAAATGTCCTGGGAAGGATTTGGGAGTGGAGAATGATGAGGAGACGAAGAAAGCTCTGAGGAATGTCATCAGAGATGCGGTACAGAGTTTTAGTGATTTGCTGGATCAGATCGAGGGCATGGAAAGCGAACTTCCCGTCGATACTTACGCATGGGAGACCATGTCCGAGAGCTTGGTATTTTTTCATCTTGTATGTCAATTGGCCAAGTGTTATCTGACCTTATTCATGAGTAGAAACTCGCATCTGTCTGCTCCGTTGCGCTCCGGGAGCTAGATGAAAATCTTCACACTCGTCTGACGCAGTTATTAAGCGACAATGCACCCATTCTGGACAATCTTGTTCAGGAATCGGCGCTCAAGGCTACCACAGTTCTTGTGCGGAGGTTAGTTCAGGCCATACAACGCACAGCGTTTTCTTTAGCTCATCTTCTACAGCTTCCCAGAGATTGCTCCATCTTTTGCCATCTATCTCCGCCGTTTCGTCACCTCTCCTCTTTCGATTTTCGAGTTCGCATTCAACACTGAGAAGCGTGCACCCCCACCTCTAACAGCGGCTGCCAAATGCCTTGCGCTTTGCATCAAGGTATGTCTTTGTTCACCCGTTTTTTTCAATATACCTCAGGCCTTCCCAGCTGTCACCTGGTGACGACTCCATCATGTCAAACATGTACTCTCTCCTCAATTACATCGCTGCGACCTCCAAAGAAATAACTGAATTATCCTCTTCCAACCAACTCCTTTCCAACCCCCTTTACGCCGCCTCGATCACCTCTCATAATGATAATGCGACCTTCCAAAGCGATGAAACAGGGCTACACGGTCGCTCAGACGAAGAGAAGCAACTCATCGGGATCACGACTATCTCCGTTGTCACACGCCTTGCACTCGAGTTCCATGCTGCGGGCCAGGAGGAAGTCACAAAACTGACTATTTCGATGTTGTTACAGCGCTTACGGACTTTGGAACCGACTCTCGAGGCTGCGATTGCGTATAACCTTGTGGATCTTGCGCTTGTAGCTCCTGAAGAGTCGTTCATAGACGTTGCCCGTGCGTTCTCACTTATCAATCGCGCTACGAACCTAGAGGACCCGAGGTTCTCTAATAATATGGTGTGTATGAACCTATAGGTTGATGGTGTGCGTGCTGATGGATAGCAGGTGTTGGCCGCCCAGACGAGGCTTGCACGGGAACTAGACCAAAGACCAGATTTGTATGATGTGTACTTGGTTGAGCTGCTCACTTTGTTCGGAGACAAAGGCGTTGCTATCCAGAACGTGGCGACATCCGACCGACACGTCAAGGTAAGTTTGCTCACACATTGCAATGTTGTGCTGAATGTTCGGTTCAGACGGAAGAAATGATCGAGCAGCTGGCCTCTTTGTTGTTGCCGATCGAAGCGCTTCTTACCCATCCAGATTACTCTCCACACCTGGCCGCTTCGCAAGAGCTTACGGGCCTCTTCCGCAACATGTGGTTCCTCTGCGTTCTCTTCCATTTTACATCCGGCGAGGAGAGGGGTGCGATGACGTGGCTCATACCTGTGTTGGCGAAAATTGCAACGAAGACGCCAACTCTAGTGCTCGAGAATGCTCATGATGCGGCGAGTGAAATCGAGTATAGCACTGTCATCCGACATGAATATGCGCATTCTGTTAGTGCTGCGTTTTTTGAAAGGAAGGGATACTCAATGAATTTCACAGGTTATCTCGAAGCATCGGTCATTCCTTACACGCCATATTCCACATCGCACAAGCGAGATACGCTCTTTGTCCCCAGGACAGGTAATATTCTTATTGATGATGCAGGACGTTGAGAGTATGCGATCTGCTGCTGGTCTCCCATCTTCTTTGGTGTCATACTTCACGAATGACAGCCTGAATCGACAGAGTTATCTTATTGTATGCATGGAATCTATAGCTGACAAGGTAATGTTCGTCTTCGGATATGGTGTGTTGAGCTAAATTGTTAATAGGTTATGCGTGGATGCATGGGAGAGATGAATTCCCAAGCTGTGGAACAAGCACTACCGGCCCATCTATCAGAGGAACTTCGCAAGCTGCTTGTAGCCAGCACTCACCGCATATCTCGTGCTCGGGACGTCGCAGCCAAATACCTGTTCAACCTGATCACGTCGTTTCCCTCTCTCATGTGCGACCCGCCACTGGTGTATGCAATCCTCGAGTGCCTTACTCTTCTACGTCACGCATGCGAGAACGAGTTTACGGACGAGGTAATAGAAATATCATTATTTAGTGAGTAGCTGACGTTTTAATTGCAGTACAACCCGGTGTACGAGTTCCACTCTGAGCGCACCGGCATCACGCTGCAGCTCACGGATGACTACAAAGTACGAAATGACATCCTTGGACAGCTACAGCGCAATGCCAACACGTGGTTTGAACTCGCACTCGGCCGGGCTCCCATTGAGCTCCAGTCGACACTTCAAGTTCAGTTTTTTATCGTTACTTCAGCTCTTTCTCCTGATGTCCTCCGTACAGAAATATCTTACAGCTGCACAACCACTGATCGGCGCGGACGCTACTGAGTTAGGAGCTTCTGTTGCCGAAACGTTTGCTAAGGCATTTGGTCCTGTGCACCGACAACTTTGTAAGTGCTCGGTCTTGAATAACGTGCTAGTATTCTGATCATTTACATCATAGACTCTTTGTGTAGCTTGTCAAATTGGAATTCCGATCGTGCACGCGCACTTGCTAGTCAACTTGCGAGCAAATGCTATTTTGCAGGGGAAGTTGCTGGTTTGCGACTTGCAGCTCGTAAAAGTAAGTCGGTCTACCCGATAGACGTTGGGGCGTTTTTAACGTTTGCAAGATCAAGATTCGTTGGATAAAGTAGCTCCTCAGATGCACTGCACTGGCGTCCAGCCTTTCAAGGACAAGATGGCCGATACGATGAATGACATTCGGAATAAACGTAGCTCTTTGACTGTTCAAGACCTTCAGCGCCTATTATTCCGTTGCGCAGCGATTCTTATATCGTTGGAGAAGGTTAGACCAAGCTCTATATGTTTCTGGCATCCGTGCTGATGATTTTCAGTGCGATTACACCTTAGTACATTTCTTGGTAGCTCTACCGTTTGAGGTTTTCACCCCCGCTGCGGTCGCTGCGGGCATTGAAACATGGACGTGGGTCATCGCGGAGCGTCCTAACATGGAAGTGGCCATAATGTGCGAAGTGCTCACGTCTTGGTTTGGGACTGTGAAGGAGCGTAAGGGTGTGTTCTCGGCCTCATCAAAGTTTGTCAATCTTTTGGCATTTCAATTTCCCGAGTGATTGACAATCCGCAGCTGTGTTGATCCCTTCTATCATCCCATTAGCTACAGTCCAACCGACAAGGACGAAATCGATCGAGCAACGACTCATGCTCGTCGGCTGCTCATGCCGCATACTTTAGTTCTACAGATGTTGTTCAGTCGATTGCAGGCAGCTAGATATTGTCGCTCGACTGTAATGTTCCTCATCCAAAGACTTGTTTTGCGATCTGCGCAAGCGCACAAGTTGTTTAGGTACGTTCATCAGGCCAACTGCTCGAAGTCATATTGACAATTCATCCAGTACTCATCCACTGGCTCGAGAGTTACGCTACACGTTCCTTCTTTTTGGACTGGAGACGTTGAAGAGCTCGCATTTAGATGCCGTCTGCGAGTGTATGTTACGCGAAAGTCTGTATCGCACGGCATATTCATGGTTTGCTGTTCGGCCGCAGTTAGTACATTTCTCAAATATCAGTGTTTGTGCGAACGCTTATGGTGTTCAGGTGGTCTTTTGGAGCCAATCGAGTGCAGGTTGACGCTGATATCAAAGCTATGTCCGAGTTTCTTGTGCATCTCCAAGGTGACTCGATCAGGAATATGACATCTCTTTCGAGCCTTGCTCCGCATCAGTCTGCGTCAAAGACGTCCCGTGAGCACAGCGAAAGTTCTTTTCTTCGCGCTGAACTGATCTCTTGTAGTTTATGCTACGCGCCTCAAGAACATCAACCAGCCACTCCGTCTTCTGATAGAGAATGAGATATTCAGGCTTACAGTCTGGGCTAATCCTAGCAACGAAGCGAAACGAGGCAGCGATATTCATGGCCTGCTCGAGCGCAGTATGCTTGAGGTAAGCACCTTGATGTCTCTGTGAATGGTGATTCATATATTTCCATAGTCGACTTGGCCTGGTGTAGTTCGAACAGTGTGGGAGGTGGACCCGGCCATAGCAGTCTATCTGACTGAGCGTTTCAAAAGCCCCGCAGCTCACGCTGAAGTGCAGAATCTGGTACGGTCTAACGCTAGCCAGGTACTCGATACTCCGGAAGCTCTACGATTTTTGATTGGGGATTCCTTGCGAGGACAGAGACGTGAGCTGAAGGTAATTTATTTTTTGCAGTATTGTGATTCGAGAGTTTATGTTTTTGTCAGTACATCATCGTATGGGCGCCTGTCACTCCTGTGATCGCTGTTACTTTCTTCGAGCGGCGACACGGAAACAATCCATTCCTGCTACAATACGCCCATCGAGTCCTGAAGCAACATTTTGTCGACCTCACATTCTTTTTTGTTCCTCAAGTTGTTCAGGCCCTTCGGTTTGATGACCTTGGTTTGTATCTGTAGCCTCTTGCCGTTATGGTTTCTCAATGTGTGATTTAGGATATATCGCACAGTTCATCTTCGAAACCGCAAAGGTATCTCAACTCTTTTGTCACCAGATCATATGGAACATGAAAGCCAATTGCTACAAGGATGATGCTGCCGAGGTCGTGAGTACAATGTATGTTTCCATCTCTACTCTACTGACACGACATTAGGAAGATCCTATGAAACCCGCGTTAGATCGGATGACTGATATGGTAGTGGATTCGCTATCTGGTGATGCCCGCACCTTTTACGATCGAGAATTCGGATTCTTCAACGAGGTAACTTCGATATCTGGGAAACTGAAGCCCTTCATCAAAAAGTCAAAACTTGAGAAAAAGGCGAGACTCTCGAAGATCATTATAGGATATCATCTGATATATCTTTACAGGCCAAGATTGACGAGGAGATGGCCAAGATAGTTGTTGACGTTGGAGTTTACCTTCCCAGTAACCCGGACGGTAGTGTTATTGACATAGATAAGAAGTCCGGCCGACCGCTTCAAAGTCACGCTAAGGTGTGTAGATCATCTGTTGTCAATCTATTTGCTCAATACAATCTCACCGAAGGCACCATTCATGGCTACTTTTAAAGTGAGGAAGGAGCGCGTTATCATTGATTCTAACCCGGAATCTCTTTTGGACGGCGCACTCGAGAAACGCGAGGAGTATGACGTTTGGCAACAGGCTATCTTCAAAGTTGGTGACGACTGTCGACAAGATGTGTTGGCCTTACAGGTCATCGCGATGTTCAAAAACATCTTCACCAGCATCGGGTTGACTCTTTATCTCTTCCCCTACAGGGTCACCGCAACTGCTGCTGGAGTAAGTACTTTTGCTTTTCATTCACATTTGGCCACGCTTATGCATATCATAGTGTGGTGTCATTGACGTAGTGCCAAATGCCACATCTCGAGATGAGATGGGAAGGGCCACAGTAAACGACCTACTTGACTTCTTTATTTCGAAATACGGAGGAGAAGAGACCGTTGCATTCCAACGTGCTCGCCTCAATTTCATACAATCTATGGCTGCATATTCCATTGCTTGCTATATCCTGCAAATCAAGGACCGTCACAATGGGAATATCATGATTGATGGCGAAGGGCATATCGTGCATATCGGTAGGTTTTATCGTCTAAGAGTACGGCAAGCGGCATTAAACTCGATTTCAGACTTTGGATTCCTATTCGATATAGATGAGTTCTTCATTTCACGATCGCTGATATGCTTACTGACTTGGTTCTTGCTGTCTATCTACGTCCTGGAGTAAGTCCCGATCACGATACCTCGAGCAGTTCTTTGACTATACTTTCCAGGGAGTCAAGTTTGAACCTAGCTCTTTCAAGTTAACCCACGAGATGGTAGTTCTTATGGGTGGCAGATTTTCTCAAGGTTATGAACTGTTTCAACATCTGACAGTGAAGGCTTTTCTCGCTATCCGACCTCATGCGGATCAGCTCGTCAGCACAGTACAGCTCATGCTAGGAACTGGTCTCCCGTCCTTCAAAGGTGAACCGACTATCAAGCGCCTCAAAGATCGGTTTGCGCTTGGGTTGAATGAGCGTCAGGCTGCTGAATGGATTATGGGAGTCATCCGCAATGCTCATGAAAATGTGAGGAGCACAGCCTACGATGAGTTCCAACGGGTGCGTTACTCTTGCTTGCGATCGTTAGACATCCTCATATAATTTTCTTAGATACAAAATGGTAAGTCGGGTGCATACTTAATACAATGCCTCTGGGGCCTGAGGCGTTTGCAGGCATACCGTACAAGTAGCAAATGCTACTCAAGAGTCAATGGATAGTATCGAATTTAGATATAGAAATATTCTACCTCTTGCCTTCAGCCGTATTTAAACAAGGGTTGGATAGTTTCTACCAACAATGGTGGAGTGTGGTCAAACTCAACGTTCCAGAACAATTCAGAGATCTATATTTAGCACCCGAGCTTCGACTAGAATCGTGGCTGAACTCTGCTTATCGATCAACCATCTATCATTCTTCCCACTTGTGCCCTCATTATTTTCATGGAGTTCATCATCCGAAACGTAGACTTTCAAGCCACTGAATATGAAGTCACAAAGAAGATAGCAGAGGTTTTGCACGCGTGCCCCGGTCCATTTGTGTCGGATGCCGATGCGCAGCAGCGTCCCATCAACTTTAGAGTCATGCTCGAAAAGAATGAGTGCGGAGGCGTCCGTAACAAAGGCTTCGGGTCACTCAGACTGCCCTCTAAGCACGTAGGGCTGAAATTCCGTCGGCTTGTTGACGGCGAAGATGGTGTCACCATCAAGGTCGGCAAAAAGCGTCTGAAATTCATCCCTACCACCAAGCACATCCCAAACAACATACTAGTCACCCTCGAAAAGGCTCCATATGTGGATCCTGATATCGCCCAGAAACGACAGGAGAAGATCGATGCGTTAAGTTCAGACTTTCGAATCGCTAAAGTGCAAATTGGTATGTTATAAGTTTCCTCGTATACCTTTTACCTGTCGTCTTTGGATCATATGAACTTGTTAACTAGGCATATTTTATCGCCCTAGAGGTGCAAGCCTATCAGATCCACGTGCCTTCAGCGTGGAATGGCAATCCGATCTTCTTAACGGACTTGGGTGGTTGAACTTCGAATATGAGCACAAACTGATCCGTGCGAAGGTTTGGCATCTGTTTCATTCTGAATATAAAACCGTAGCCCGTATTGATATTATAATTGGCTAGATTGGTGATCCAGCGCGAGGAGAACTGTTATACAGCCTGATCGTTACCTTCGCCAATATCAACAAAATGGCTGTGGGTCGTGATTTTGGTAATCAATGTAAGCATGGTGCCCATGACTTAGGGTTATGAATGTAAAATTTCCTTAGACGTATGCTTCGATCTGTTCACGCCACCCATTGTCGAAAGAGAAGACTTCAATAGAACCCTTACCGGAACACACTCCGATCAGAAGAATTATCGCGAACGCGTTGGTGCTATACATCCAGGGCATGCGCAAATTGCTCCGTACGCTCACCACATACGCATCATCCTCTCCGAAGAAGGAGATCTGGAGAAGTTCACGCAATTCTGTAAAATTGCAGAACTTCGTCCTCCGTTCTCTGGAGTCCGTATTGAAGCCATCTGCCAGGAATTTTTCACGAGCAAAAGACTGGCTTGGGTACAAAGATGGTTGATATCATTAAAATCAGACTGGCCTGTAGCGTTTCAGATCGAGGCCCTTCTTCGAAATGGTGTCGCAAATACAAAGGAACTCGAGGATCTGCGCCCGAATATTGATGACCTGATTCGCTACCACCGACCATCTGCCGCGGCCATCATGCGATACTTTGTGATAAAAGCTGCGGCTCGTCCTCCAGGTCAAATGATCAACGAGTGCTTCGAGCTAGTGGTAAGGGAGAGGCTCGGGAATGTCCGTCCCGAGGCGCCTCCTGGCCGCTTTTATTGTCATCGTGTTACAGTCACTCCAACTCGGCTCGTCCTCGAGGGGCCTAACATACTGCAATCGAATCGCGTCATTCGCGAGTACGAAGGCTATGAAGGCAACTTCATTCGAGTCGATTTTCGTGACGAGGATCGTCTCCAGTATCGCTGGGATAGGGAAGTAGATGGAGCGAGCTTCGTCAGGAACCGTGTCGGGGGCTTGCTGAAGGATGGTTTTGAGCTTGCGGGAAAACATTTTGATTTCTTAGCATATTCTTCATCTGCACTGAGGGAGCATGCTGTTTGGTTCGTTAGCGCCTTCCAGCACGACACCAAAGGACTTGTCAACGCACACACGATAAGGGGTAGCTTAGGAGACTTCAGCGGATGCATCCATTCTCCTTCGAAATATGCTGCTCGGATGGCTGTAAGTCAGCTGTCTCTGTCAACATTCCTTTTAAACAGCATTTCAGCAAGCCTTTACAGCGACAGATCCATCGGTCAAGATCCATCGGTCCCAGTGGTCGGTAATGCCTGATATCGAAAACGAAAACGGTGTTATGTTTTCTGATGGCGTCGGTACCGTCAGTGATGAACTTGGTGATTTAATCTGGAAAACTCTCTGCGAAGCTCGACGAGATGGTGGTGCGCACGCAGTGAAACCTTCGGCGGTAAGTGCTTTCACGCCTGTAAGTACTGTACTAAACGGGGCTACAGTACCAAATCAGATTCCTTGGCTTTAAAGGTGTCGTTGCTATTGACAAGCAACTCAAGGGAATCCACCTCTGCTTACGAGAAAGTATGAACAAGTTCAAGGATCGTGGGGAAGAATATGCTATGATAGAGATTGCTCGCCCCGTCGTGAAACCTAATACTCCTCATCTTAACAGGTATCTACAAGTTCCTTATCATTTCAGTTTTATGTGTGGATGCTCAAGCGATTCGCAGACCTTTGATCACAGTTCTAGAAGACCGAGGTGCCTCAAAGGAAACATTTATGGAGTTGCAGCAAAAGGTTGTTGCGGAGGCACGCACCGCTCACGACTCGGTTGATTTATTTGCGGCACTCTTGGAAAGTCATGGACTGTCTCAATCTTTCCGACTGGCATCGACGTTACGGAAACTTAATACCTTCGGTTTAGAGTTGAGCCCTACACATCTTCAGCAGAACATCGACACCCCCTTTTTGGCGCAGTTGCGGGCTTGTGCCATTAACCACGTACTGCGAGCAGTCAAACATGATGCACGCATCCCAGTCCCTAACAGCTACATGCTGATGGGAGTCACAGATGAGGGACCTGCTTACGAGAAAAAAGGCTACTCGAACGTCTTCAAGCTACCTCCCGGTAAGATATATGGTATGCCCCTCATTTCTGACAGCTCGCTGTACTTGTTTACCTGCCCCCCTAAGCGTGTGTTCACAAACCAGGGGATAATGAGCCCATATGGCTTCATGGGCCTTGTATGATCTCGAGGAGTCCTGTCATACATCCAGGCGATGGTAAGTTCCTGCCTGTGCTACTACACTTATCGTAAATTAACTCGAGTCTAGTCCAGCAGTCATATGCTATCGGAAGGCCTCCAAGTGATAAACTCTGCCTTTTTGCTCACCTGAAGAATGTAGTTGTATTTGCATCCACTGGTAGGTGCACGAGTGTTTGAAAAAATTTCCGTTTGTCTATATCCTCAACTATAGGTGCAACTTGTTTGGCAAACTCACTCGGCGGTGGCGATCTTGACGGGTAAGGAGAGATGTCACCTCTATCCTGACCTGAGATTCATGGTTTATAGCGATCTCTATGAGATTATACAATACCCACCCTTGATCCTCCCGGATCATTATGATCCTGCGTCTTATCCTGCAGGGAAGCTCTTCAAGATCGAACGTGAAAGCACAATCGACGACGTGTGTGATTTTGTCGTGGAATATATCAACTCAGATCTTGTGGTACGTCAATTGCGGGTGAGCCTAAGTTGATCGATGACTCAAGTGGACACAGGGGCTTGTGTCCGACAAACATATCACTATTGCAGGCAAGTTTTTATTCTACAATGATCAAACACTCCAACTTATGGTGTTCATCACAGATCAAGCTAGCGTACGTAGTGTCATCAAAAGTGTGCAGTGCTCGAACTCAGATTATAATATAGGACGGATCGTTCAACGAGGCATGCCTGAAGCTCGCAGGCCTTCATAGCCAAGCTGTCGACTACCCAAAGAACGGATGGAAGGTCGACATTGAAGATATTCCTCGCAACCTCATCCCCTACAAACCTGATTGGCATGCAGCAGAGGTGGAATCTCCCCGACCGACAGATTATTACGAGTCAGACCGGGCCTTGGGCCACTTATATCGCAACATCCAGCTCGACGATGTACCCACTTATGTTCCTCAGCAGCTAGAAAAGCCGCTGAGTGATATTATATCCGTTACACTTCGTCCTCTAGTCGAACGACAGCTAAAGCGTCGTGAGAGACCTTCGAAACTCAAGGTCTCAATGAACAGCATATACTCCATGTACTTCGACGAACTCATCTACGTTGCAACCTGTCACACACTCTCACGAGTACCCGGTGCGCGCCTGCGCGAGGAGGAGATCATCATTGGAACTATCCTTGCCAAGTGCTCACAGAAGCGATTTAAAACTGACCGAACATATGCAATGAGAGAATGCATTTCAGTCCTCATTCGCGATGTTCGAAGCAGAATGCTGCCAGAGAGTATGTTGGACGCGTCGCCCGACGAAGTGCGGGATGGCTTAGAGAACGGGTGGTCTGCTTGGGCGCTGAGTCAGGAGAAATACAAAGAGAGTCACGAGAAGAAAAAAGAGGGTTATGGTGCGCAAAGTTTTGGTTTGGTTGCGTTGGGAATTGTGCTGGAGTGTCTGGAGCAGTTGCAGGAACTGCCCTCGGCGCCAGCTTAGGATATCATTGTACAATGTATAGAATTTTTACTTAGAGAAGTGTAACCCAACGGGAGTCTATTATTAGACTCACTCTTGATCACTACATTCGCGTGTTCACTAGTACTCATGTCAATCCACGTCTTTTCTCTTCCTGCAGATTTCGGCAGATTTCACGAAGCGTATCTTCGTTTCTCTCGACACTTTCAGCAATTCCGTTCTCTCCACATCGCCATCAAAGACTGGACTCTCGATTTCATCAAGTCCTACGATCCTTGGAACCACAAGACTCTCGAATCAATCCTCCGGGCCATTGCTATCATCCTGGTACTATTTTTGGTTATCCGTTTCTGGACCACGTCTTGTTCCCGCTCACCGACGAAGGACTCCCACCGCACGGCCCTTCAAGCTCTCCAAACTGTCCTCGTCCCAAGCTGCTCTCTCTGGTCCGCACGCTACATTCAGCTCGTCAAAAATGCCTCAAATAAGCGTGACGGATCCAGGATCGTTGTGCCTTTAAGCATGCTTCTACAGGACGTCTACGATGGCGTGATTGAGCTTCGCGATCCTCTATACGATCTCGAGGACCTGATAGATCAAGGTGTTCGTGCGTATGGCTGTTCCATCAGTCTGAAAATTGAGTGGAAGTGGTGGGTAGAATGGTTAGACCGAATGGTGCGCATTCATGCTCTGTGTTTGTTGCTGACGCGTGCGCTGAACCACCGTTCATCAGTTACGCGGAGACGTTTCAGGTGATTATATGCGCTCTTATGCTTGAAAATTCACTTCTAACGCATATATGCTCATTCTGAAAGACAATACGAAGGGTTTTGATGGTAAATATTCATTGTTCAAATTCCACAGCTACTGGCATACAACATCGACGGGCTGATTCACCCACTTGCACCGACAGCACCTCCACCCTCCGCCGACCATAGGACTATTATCAACCTCAACAACCATCCACTCACGCACTTGGCTACTACCCAACTTCCTCAAGGTTCCCGCACCACTTTGGCATTCACTACCCTTTCCAACCACATCTCCTTCCTCAGCACGTTGCACATTCTCTGCATGATCCCCTTCCTGACCCACCGTCTCCCCCACCGCTTCTCTGACATCATCGCAACAGTAAACGAAACTCCACACTTCAAACTATTAACCCTCACCAACACATCAGCAGTTTACGCTGATACGCTCGCAGCACTATCGAACAAGCTGACATACGATCCGGTAGCAAGACAACAGTGCGTCGACGAACTGGGCATCAAGGGGTGGCGTGAACGAAGGCTAATGCTCGAGTTCGAGGCTGTTCTCGTGCGGAGAGGCTGGCTGGAGCGCTGGGACGTAGTCTTGGAGGCTCGTTGATTATACGTGCACTTGCCGTGTTTGCTTCTTCCTTGAAATCACTCTTGTAGCTCTGGTTCTTGTTGTTTCCCATAGATCCTGTTGCACCAGGGTACTCAACCTTTCTGTTGCATCGCTTCTCACAAATTGATGTTAGATTCGGCGAAACGGACTAGCGGCAGGAGTCGATTAGCAAATGAGTTTCGAACATATGAAAAGATCCTCATGCCCTGTCATGCTCGACCAGAGACCATCGATACTCATCGCGATCAGTGGGTGCAATCACTCACAGGACAGGAAACACATTGTATCTGGTTCGAGTTACACAACTGTGCGTGTGTAAAATATTAGGACTGGAAAGGCACTGGGCGCCTCTCTCAAAGGGCACACCCACCAGGTCCTCTCTGTAGCGATCTTGCGAAATGGGCGCTTATTGTGTCCGGTTCAATGGATGGATAAGACGATCTGGGTGTGGGATATGAAGACTACCGAGACAGTGGGCGCCCCTTTCCATGGGCACACTGAATCCCGGTTCTGTCTGTCGCAATCTCACGCGACAGCAAGCAAATTGTATCCGGTTCATCCGACAAAACCATCCGGGTGTGGGACATGGAATCTCTCAACAAGCCTTACCCTTCCAACGTCCCTGCAATATGCTTTCATCTAACCCAATATACGCTCTTCATTCCGCCTCCTCATTTCTCCAGTATTCTTCAGTTCTCTGTTGTTGCGAACAAGGATGGATGGGTTGTGTATGTCCAGACGGATGACTTCTTATTCTAAATCCCACGCAATTTCCACCCGCAGTGATGAATGTCCCAGGCAACATGGTCGTAATACACGTCTTGCGCATGGCACGTCCTAGGGAACAAAAGGCTGCCTTGATTTCATTAACCCTCGTATGTCGCGTCATAGTCAATCTTGGAGATTTGCACACGCACTAGTACTATGTGTTTGCCTTGGTCAGGGGTTTATTCAGTTCACTTCGTCACGTACAAGTCAAACTTCGCTAATGCACAAAATTTTCCATGATGCTTTGATTTGTACTGAAACACAGCGTACATTATGCATTGTCTCCACTATCACTGTCAGCCTTATAGATCACATACTGTCACTGATTCTTCCTGTGAGCGGGAAGACAAATGATATATTCTACTGCACATGTCCTCCTTTTCCTGCCTTACAATTGAGTGAACACTGCATCGAGGAGAAGAATGACAGTGGGCTATCGTTCAGTGACCCAAGTTTATTCAAAATCTCCATGAGTTTCATAAAAAAAACTTGTCATTTAACGTCTTCCGCACCCTGAACCATGTCAACATTACCCACTGGGCTCACCTAGCGTGTCAATTATGTCCTATACTACACCACAGGCGCAAAGGTTAGAACAATAATAGCGCAAGGTAGGTTACATCAATGACTAAGCACCTCCACCAGCCCGTTCAAGTCCTAGCAGCATCCAGCATGTTGAACTGGAACGCAACTGGAACGCTACATAAATTAATGTCATCAGCTTATCCCGTTCAGGCAAGTGAGGAAGTAACAGAACAAAGAGAGAAGGAAGAGAACGAAAAAAACACTCACTCTCATCCAACCCCTCCAACCTCAAAGGAGCCCTCTTCCCAACCTTGGCTGCCTCAGGGCAATATCGATATCGATTAGTTCGACTTTGCTGCTGCAAAAGGATGAGTGGTGGGTGGGTGATGCAGAATTAAGATATGTAGGGCAGAGATACGTAGTGGTTGATCATGGGGTGCAGGGTGAGATGATCAGATCTTGGTGTATTGTGCACGTGACTGCGAAATTCAGTCACGTCTGGTGGTGTTTTCGGTCACATGATTGCTTAGTTGTAACGGGGCTCCTGGGTCGGAAGAACATTTCATCTGTCGAATCTCATACCAACATTTATTCCAGAACGAACGCATTAAGCGATCCCGCGCAGGGACCGTCCCTACTCTCAGGATATGAAGCGACATTACGACTACGGATGTCCGGAATGCCATATTGCCTTTTACGTTGGCCATCCCTCGTGGAGTCGTGCGATGATGGAACTGGTAGTTTAGTCTAGTCGTCGCTCGGAGGTTATTACCGTTATAGTTCGGAATGTATTTTTCCTTCCATAGGAGGAACGAATGCAGTCGAGAAGGGCCGATGAATGTGAATAATGCGTGCGTTCCTTAATTCTGCTCACTGATCGTATATGCTCACCTATCGTCTCTTTGACCCAGTTGAATAGCTCTAGTGGCGTGCGTTTTACCACAAATCATGTCACGGAACGCCGAATCAAGCACCGAGCGTTTTTCTGATTCGCGCTAGCCATTTTTCACTGTGATGCTGGATCAATATGGAGCTCCGAGCACACTGCCAAGCCTGCACTCTTGTCACACTCATTTTACTAATAGTTAGATGTCGGCGACGACATTTGAGAGGACGATATATGGGTCTCGGATCTGCAATCTCGGAACATGCGCTAACGCTTCATGCGAAGTACCTCTATCACTTTTCTCACACAGGCAATGCAATTCATCCTTTCTATTCTGCCTCGTTTCTCTCCAAGATTATACTCCGAGCTCGAAGAAACGGTATATAGGTCGCACGGGACGCTTTCTTATTGGCTCTCCATCTATTTCCAACATGTTGCTAAACCCAATGACCGCATGATGCTCACGGAAGGAGTCTCAAAACCGCTTGAAATGTTGAAATGTTGTGTGGATGTCGTTCTTTCATAATAATAAAATGGGCTCATGGGGGAACTCACAAGAATCGTAACTCACCTGATCAGTAGATGATTATTATGGTTCGGGGGGCTGCGCCTTGAATGTAGCCTAGCTATATTTTGACACGACCATGTGTGTTGGATCCATCACGCACATGATTATTGTGAAGGCACTTGACGCAGTGATATCGTTATTATGAGCTATGTTGCTGCTAAATACATAATATTTGATTCTGTAAACTGTCCGCAATTGACGAAGGTTTCTGGAACCTTAGAATATTACATGACTTGATCACAGCTCGGTGACGGGTAAGAGAATAATGAACACGGAAGCGAGATGGTAACAGTGCGATTTGCCTACAAAGATGAAAATCAAGCGCTCAGCGTTTGTATAAGGCATTCCGAGACAATGTGGAAGCGAAACTCGCCGATTAAAACCGGGGCCAAATGTCATTTCAGGGATCATGGCCAGATCGATGCCAATCAGCTAGTCATCATGATCCAGCTGATCATATCAGAGCGCTGTCATTGTCATGATTAGTATACCTTGGGAAAGGTCATCAGAAGAATCAGAACCACCACTGCGGGCGTCCGCGTCAATCTTGATTGATCTGGTTGTATGATGGAAATGAAGTAACAGGTTGAGTTCGAAGCTTGCATGACACATGAATCTACTACCCCTGCACCAATCGTCGAAATTCTTCGCTTCTCCTAAATTGTTCCAGAGGAGGGAAATTGCCATTGGAGGTTTTCTGGCGCTCGCGGCGTCAGTCAAATGCGAGCATGCAACGGTATTGTGAATATGATCGAGTTTCCCTTTAAAAGCATTAATCCTGCCACCCTCCGATTGTCATAGCGAGTAGGGGGCATTTGGCATTTGTTGTCCCGAACCTTTTATTGATTTTTGCTAGCTCTGAGCTGGAATGGACGCCGTGATCAGCTCGAATAATGATGATACCGCATGACCAATCACTGTCGATACGCCGAACGGAACATACCAATTCATGGAACTCAGAACATACAGACGCTGCGCCCAAGTCGATTGGGATAGTAAAGTTTACCCAAATTCTGGGGGTTGAGAAGTTCAGCAGGATTGTGGCACTCGTGCACAATGATTCTGCAGATCTGCAAATAGGCTCTGCACACGTGCATAAGGCAAAGGTGTTGCCGTGTCCGGGAAGACCTGCAAGCCTTTTCTGGTAACAAAAAAAGTTGGGACTGAGGTGGGCCTTTCACAATGACCGACTTCTAAAGCTTGTGATGTTTCTGGGTTAAAATTTTCTAACGCCCAGAGATCCAAGATCTGTGGCAACGCATCAAAAGAAGATCGTTCATTCGGTCGGAATTTTTAAAGCTCCTGCACTGGTTTGAGAATGACAGGTCACCTGCTTGCACTATCAAGCGCTCGCCGTGGCATCAAGCATCTAATCGTCCGTTCCGCAGCAACAGATTCATATAGTCTTTCTCTCAGTCTCAATCCATTCTCATTGCAGCATGTCCCAGTTCCCTGGATCCAAATTTCAGGCGGCTGTGAGAGAATGAAATTTAAGTATGGCACTCTGAAGGCGCTAACCAGACTCGTGAAACAATTTCCGGGGTAGGCAATTCTGGATTGCCGGAATTGTAGGCCCAGTGTGATTAGTAAAGGCGGGTGTTGATATGGATCGTTCTCAGGGGTGACTTTTCAAAGGTTCGATATCCCGCAGCGAAATTAGTGCAAGAGCACATATTTAAACGCATAGATATCCTGTAAGCCTCGAGTCAAGTACCGCACGATCTCTTGTACTACCTCACCTCGACAATTATGCAAGCCCCTCTATCCATGAATTCTACTAACTTTCAGTATTCTTCTAAGCCAGAAGACCGCTATCCATTGTATATGCCAGCGGACCATCTGCCCTTAGGTCAGAAAGAACAAATGAGTTTGCAGGTTCCTTTCGCACAAGTCCGGCAATACGGGCATGCGTATCCAGCCCCCCCTGCTGCACTCGAGCAGCCCTTGGGTGTAGATGAGGCGTATCCCCGAGACTACTCGCTGCTAGAGCGGAGGGAACAAGTGGGCTGGCAGCCTCCCGTCCCCCACGTCCAGAAATACGGGAGTGCACGCCCAGCCCCTACTATTGCACTCGATCAGCCCTCGGGTTTAGACACAGTGCATTACCGACCTACCATGGGAAGCGGGGTGGTCGCTCGATATTCTGTAAGTCCCCACAGTTGCCGAACATTGCATGAACTCATTCCCGGTCATTCAGGCATCACCTGCCTTTCCGTCAAGAGACACAAAGCTGGTGATGCACACCCATGCGTCACATTCAAACCAGCCTGTTTCCGAGTTCATCAGCAATAATTGCGAGAACTGGACACTCACATTGGATGTCCCCATCCCAGAAGATGTGGTCCGCCCGACGCTCACGTCGTTCTCATATACGGTCAAATATAGCACAGCGAATGATCACTTGGCTTCTGTTGTTCGATCCAATATTCTACTTGCAACAACGAAATCAGAGGCGCCGGACGATGACGATGACGAGACTAGCGAGAGTGCTAATGCTGTGTGCCTTTCGTCCGTGCTAGGCGTCAAAGCTAATCACTTGGATAACCACTGGAACCACTTCGTAGATCACCAACACATCCCTTTTGATGTCCGCATTGTCCCGAACAGTCGTCTGTACTTGCAGATTCACGTCTCGGAGTATCCTACAGAAGCGATACTGCGCTCTCTTTCGATGGATGTCTTTGCTACTTGGGTAGTTGACAAAGAAGAGATGCGACTGCTTCAGAAACGTCAAGCCAGGCAAGCGGCAGAGGCGCAGAAGGCAGCTGACGAAGAAGAAGCCAACGAGATGCGACGGCTTCAGGACCGTCAATTCAGGCAAGCGGCAGAGGAGCAGGAGGAAGCAGAGGCACAGAAGGCAGCTGATGAAGCCAAGAAAGCGGCAGAGGCGCAGAAGGCGGCTGATGAAGCCAAGCAAGCGGCAGAGGCGCAGAAGGCGGCTGACGAAGCCAAGCAAGCGGCAGAGGCGCAGAAGGCGGCTGACGAAGCCAAGCAAGCGGCAGAGGCGCAGAAGGCGGCTGATGAAGCCAAGCAAGCGGCAGAGGCGCAGAAGGCGGCTGATGAAGCCAAGCAAGCGGCAGAGGCGCAGAAGGTGGCTGATGAACTGGCCAAAGAAGTAGCCGAGAGAGATGCAAAAGTGGGCAGCACCGCGGATGGAGTGATGCAGGAAAAGATTCGAAAAGCGCTCGAGCGTCTTCCAGAGGATCGCAGCTGTCCTGGAGGATACGTTTGGGTCCAAAATTCGGCTGGTTTCATGTGCGGAGGGGGTGGACATAGCATCACTTGGGAGGAATTGGCTGCACTGGCTGACTAGGATGGCTCGGGTGGTTTGGATGGTTTGAAAGAAGTTTGAGCGACAGATGCAAAGGCGGGAAAGAACGCAGAAGACCAAGCCAAGAAAATGAGCTTCAAAATTTTCACGGTGTCCACCTAGCTCCGATTCTCCCTCCCCCTCCGACTGCCGCTGGCACCCAAACACCTATCTCTGTCGAAGACCGTAATGAGTGTAGTACGATGACAATGACAATGAAAATGACAATGTCAACATGTGGTATATTCTAGAGGGATTAGGTGATCATCATGTAGAGAGTAAATGTGATCTGGTACAAGCACGATAAAATATAGCGCTTGCAGTCTCCTTTTCCCATGTTTTTGGGCTCCGTGTTTGAGTATCTCGCAAAGTTTAAGCAAAGAGGCGCAGATTGCAGATATCTGGTAGTACAAGCTCATCATGGTCCTCCAGACTAGGGGCGTGACACTTTTCACGGGATCAGACTCTTCGAAGGGCAGGGCGTTTGGAGTGCGTGGACGACTGTCTGTGAAGTTGAGGAGTACTCTGTATTTATCGATGTTGCGATAATTCTAGTCCAAAAACCACTGCTGGCAGAACTGGCGCCGAAAGAGAGTCATTGATAGTGATCTACTACGAACGCATTCAATTGAAACTTGAATAAAAGGCATGATTCGTAAAGCATAACATTATGCACACCGTTGCTAGGCACCCTAAACGCTAACACCCCTGTCTCCGCGAGTAAACGAGCTTTGAAAGGCTCACAATGAGATCCAATAGCCTTTGCATTCTTCCCAGTTACATCAAACGGGTGCTGAGCGGCTTGATTTGAGCCGTGTGAATATTCGAGTAGGTCCTCTGAGAGTCGTCGTGGCCTAAGTAGGATACTCATAGTCGATCCAGATTATTATGTCGAGGAAGGGTAGCACGAGATCAAGGTCAGATGATGTCGACCATATTGACTACCTCGGGCCTGTGTGTGAACCAGAGTAGTGTCACTACGGTGTCCGCAATATTTAAGACAAGTCTGAATGTCGAGGCAATACTTGGTATTTGGCTTGTCGTGTCAGCAGATATAAAATTTCAAATATTAAAGAGTTATGGTGCGCAAAGTTTTGGTTTGATTGCGTTGGGAATTGTGCTGGAGTGTCTGGAGCAGTTGCAGGAACTGCCTTCAGCGCCAGCTTAGGATATCACTGTACAATGTATAGAATTTTTACTTAGAGACCCAACGTGAGTCTATTGTTAGACTCACTCTTGAATCTTAATCACTACATTCGCGTGTTCACTCATGTCAATCCACGTCTTTTCTCTCCCTGCAAATTTCGGCAGATTTCACGAAGCGTATCTACGTCTCTCTCAACACTTTCAGCAATTCCGTTCTCTCCACATCGCCATCAAAGACTGGACTCTCGATTTCATCAAGTCCTACGATCCTTGGAACCACAAGACTCTCGAATCAATCCTCCGGGCCATTGCTATCATCCTGGTACTATTTTTGGTTATCCGTTTCTGGACCACGTCTTGTTCCCGCTCACCGACGAAGGACTCCCACTGCACGGCCCTTCAAGCTCTCCAAACTGTCCTCGTCCCAAGCTGCTCTCTCTGGCCCGCACGCTACATCCGGCTCGTCAAACATGCCTCAAATAAGCGTAACGGATCCAGGATCATTGTGCCTTTAAGCATGCTCCTACAGGACGTCTACGATGGCGTGATTGAGCTTCGCAATCCTCTATACGATCTCGAGGACCTAATAGATCAGGGTGTTCGTGCGTATGGCTGTTCCATCAGTCTGAAAATTGAGTGGAAGTGGTGGGTAGAATGATTAGACCGAATGGTGCGCATTCATGCTCTGTGTTTGTTGCTGCTGAACCACTGTTCATCAGTTACGCGGAGACGTTTCAGGCGAGTATATGCGCTCTTACGCTTGAAAGTTCACTTCTAACGCATATATGCTCATTCTGAAAGACAATACGAAGGGCTTTGATGGTAAATATTCATTGTTCAAATTTTACACCCACTAGCATACAACATCGACGGGCTGATTCACTCACTCGCAACAGTACCTCCACCCTCCGCCGACCATAGGACTCTTATCAACCTCAACAACCATCCACTCAGGCACTTGGCTACTATCCAACTTCCTGAAGGTTCCCGCACCACTTTGGCATTCACTACCCTTTCCAACCACATCTTTTTCCTCAGCACGTTGCACATTATCTGCATGATCCCCTTCCTGACCCACCGTCTCCCCCACCGCTTCTCTGACATCATCGCAACAGTAAACGAAACTCCACACTTCAAACTATTAACCCTCACCAACACATCAGCAGTTTACGCTGATACGCTCGCGGCACTATCGAATAAGGTGACATACGATCCGGTAGCAAGACAACAGTGCGTCGACGAACTGGGCATCAAGGGGTGGCGTAAACGGAGGCTAATGCTCGAGTTCGAGGCTGTTCTCGTGCGGAGAGGCTGGCTGGAGCGCTGGAACGTGGTCTTGCAGGCTCGTTGATCATTCATGCACTTTCCGCGTTTGCTTCTTCCTCTCAATCACTCTTGTTGCTCTGGTTCTTGTCGTCTCGCATAGATCTTGTTGTACCAGGGTGCTCAAAACTGCAACATCGCTTCTCACAAATTGGTATTAGATTCGGCAAAACGGACCAGCAGCAGGAGTCGATTACTAAATGGATTTTGAACCTCAAAGCACTGTCACGCTTGACCGGAGATCATCGATACTCGTCGCGATCAGTGGGGCATTGATATCGATAGATGGTGGCTATCTTGCCGAATATTGTGCAGATATCGAGAGGTTGCAAATCCGAGCATGAATCAACGAGGGATAAAATGCTGGACCTGTGGAATATGGCAACTCAATTGCGAGGCAGTGGGTGAGCCTCTTCGAGGACACTGACTGCGTTGTCTGTTGCGATCACTCACAAGACGGGAAACACGTTCAAGTTACACGACTGTGCGTGTGTGAAATATTAATTAGGACTGGAAAGGCATAGGGTGCCCCTCTCGAAGGGCACACCCACCAGGTTCGCTCTGGCGATATTGCGGAATGGGCGGGGCTACGTTATGTCCGGTTCAATGGATAAGATGATCTGCGTGTGGGATATGAAGACTACCGAGACAGTGGGCGCCCCTTTTCAAGAGCACACTGAATCCGTTCTGTCTGTCGCAATCTCACCCGACAGCATTCACATTGTATCCGACAAGACCATCCGAGTGTGGGACATGGAATTTCTCAACCAGCCTTACCCTTCCAAAGTCCGCCTTTCATCTAACCCAATCTACGCTCTTCATTCCGTCTCCTAATTTATCCAGGATTCTTCAACTCTCTCTTGTTGCGAACAAGGATGGATGAGTTGTGTATGTCCAGACGGACGACTTCTTATCTGGATCCCATGCAATTTACACCCGCGGTCATGCATGTCCCAGGTAACACGCTCGTGATGCATGATAGTGCCTCGCAGTTCGATTTGAGTCGTCTTGCGCATGGCATGTCTTGGCACAGTTGTCGGGAACAGGAGGCTGCCTTGATTTGATTATGTTACCCTTGTATGTCGCGCCGCCATTGTCAATCTGAGGAGGGTTTATTCGTTGATTGAAACTTGTTCGACTGGATTTAATATAGTCTGTACATAGAATAGTTTGGCAGACACGCCTGGAGTACCATCGACCATGGTCAAGGCACATATGAAAAGGATTAGGCAGTTGGAATGACACGTGACTGCGAAAATCAGTCACGTCCAGGGCTTAAGTCATATGACTGGGTGGTCAACTGGACTCTGGGAGTCTCACATGAAGGCTCAAGTGACATCACGACTATGGATCTCCGGAATGCCAGTCTACCTCTTACTACGACACGTCGGCCATCGTAGTGGTCGCTTGGAAGTTGTACGTTCCTCATTGATCATCTGCCTAAGTATCCATAGTCTCTTCTGGTGGCGCGCATTTTACCGCAATAAACTCAGATAAAAATAAAATGTCACGGGACGCTGATTCCGTTTTTCTGACTCGCACTAGCCATTTTTCACCATGATGCCGGATCAATCTGAAGCTTCGAGCACACTGCCAAGCCTGCACCCGTGTCACACTCGTTTTACCATTAGCCAGATGTCTGCAAGGACAATCAAGAGGACGACACGCGGGTCTCGGATCTGCAATCTATCAATATGCGCTGCTTCATGCGAACGCTTTTTTCATCCAAACAACGCAACTTGTCCTCTCTATTCTGCCTCGTTTCTCTCCAAGATTATACTCTGAACTCGAAGTAACGGTACATAGGTCGCACGAGACGCTTTCCTATTGGCTCTCCATTTACAACATGTTGCTAAACTCAACGACCACATGATGCTCACGGAAGGAGTCTCGAAATGTTGAAACGTTGTGTAGATGTTGTTCTTTCACAATGGCAAAATGGGCTTATCATTGGGAGAACTCACAAGGCAAGCACAATCATCCGAAATTCTGAATCGTAGCTCATCTGATCAGTAGATGATTATCGTGGTTCGGGGGGTTTGCGCCCTGAATGTAGCCTAGCTATACTCTGACAAGACCATGCATGTGGCGTGTTTCCACCACGCACACAGTTATTGTAGAGGTACTTGACACAGTAATATCGTTATGTTGCTGCTAAACACCGTGAGTGTTTGACGCTGTAAACTGTCCGCGACTGACGAAGGTTCCTGGAACCTTGGAATATATCACGACCTGATGACAGCTCGGTGACCGGTAAAGAGCATAACGAAGACACGGAAGCGAGATGGTAACAGTGCGGTTTGTCTATAAAGATGAAAATTCAGCGCTCGGCGTTTGCATAAGGCATTCCGGGACAATGTGGAACCGAGACCATGACCGGGGCCAAATGTCATTCCAGGGATGCCAGTGAGCCAGCTGATCCTATCAGAGCGTTGTCATCGCCATGAACCATGATTAATGTACCTTTATAAAGGTCATCAGAAGAATCAGAACCATCACTGCGAGCGTCCGCGCCAATCTCGAGTGATCGGCCGTACGAAGGAAATGAGGTCACAGGTTGGATTTGAAGCTTGCATTACACATGAACCTACTATCCCTGCTTCGATTCTTGGGTTCTCCTAAATTGAAAATTGCCATTAGAGGTTTTCTGGCGCTCGTGGCGTCGGTCAGGTGCGAGGATGCAACGATATTGTGAACATGAGCGCGTTTCCCTGTAAAAGCAGTAATCCTGACACCCTCCAAATGTTACAGCGAGTAGGGGGCATTTGGCATTTGCACCTTTGATTGATTTTTGCTAGCTCTAAGCTGGGATGGACGCCGTGATAAGCTCGAGTAATGATAATAATACCGCATGGCCAATCAGGGTTGATACCCTGAACGGAACATACCAATTCATCGAACTCAGTACTTGCATCCAAGTCGACTGGGATAATAAAGTTTACCCAAATTCTGGGGGCTGGAGAGTTCAGCAGGATTGTGGAACTTGTGCACAATGATTCGCCAATAGACCCTGCACGTGTGCATAAGGCAAAGGTGTTACCGGGCCCGGGAAGACCTACAAGCCTTTCCTGGTAACAAAAAAAGTTGTCACACAGGGGGACTGAGGTGTGCCTCTCACTATGTCCGACTTCTCAAGCTTGGCTGCTTCTGGGTTGAAAATCTAGCACCCAGCGCTAGATGCAAGACCTGTGGCAAAGCATCAAAAGAAGATCCATGAGAACGATCAACGCCCGCCTTTAGTAATCATACTAAGTCTACAATTCCGGCAATCCAGAATTGCCTACCCCGGATACTGCTTACACTCAAATTTTATTCTCTCACAGCCGTCTGAAAATTGGATCCAGGGACTGGGATATGTTGTGATGAGAGAAAGACTGTCTGAATCTGTTGCTGCGGAACGGACGATTAAAGGTTTGATGCCACGGCAAGCGCTTGATAATGCAAGCATGTGACATGTCATTCTCGAACCAGTGCAGGAGGTTAGAAAATTCCGACCGCATGAAGGGTAACTTCTTCCAAGGCTCGATATGTCACAGAAAGATCAGTGCAGGAGCACATATTTAAACGCATAGATATCCTGCAAGTCTGAAGTCAAGCACCACACGATCTCATTGCACTACTTTACCTCAACGATTATGCAAGGCCCCATTGATTCTACCAACTTTCAGTATTCTTCTAGGCCAGATAACCGCTATACATTATCTCTGCCAGTGGACTATCCGCTGCTAGCGAAGAAGGAACAAATGAGTTGGCAGCTTCCTATCGCACACGTCCAGCAATACGGGCGTGCATGGCCAAACCCCCCTACTGCACTCGGTCAGCCCTTGGGTGCAGATGAAGAGTATCACCAAAACTACTCGTTGCTAGAGCGGAAGGAACAAGTGGGCTGGCAGCCTCCTGTCCCCAACGTCCAGAAATACGGGAGTGCGCGCCCAGCCCCTACTACTGCACTCGATCAGCCCTCGGGTTTAAACACAGTTAATTACCGACCCACGGAAAGCGGGGTGGTCGCTCGATATTCCGTAAGTCCTCACAGTTGCTGAACATTGCACGAACTCATTCCCGGCCATTCAGGCATCACCTGCGTTTCCGTCAAGAGACGCAAAGCTGGTGGTGCACACTCATGCGTCACATTCAAACCAGCCTGTTTCCGAGTTCATCGGCAATAACTGCGAGGACTGGACACTCACATTGGATATCCCCATCCCAGAAGACGTGGTCCGCCCGACTCTCACGTCTTTCTCATATACGGTCAAATATAGCACAGCGAATGATCACTTAGCTTCTGTCGTTCGATCCAATATTATGCTCGCAACAGCGGAATCAGAGAAGCCGGACGATGAAGAGACTAGCGAGGGTGCTGATGCTGTGTGCCTTTCGTCCGTGCTAGGCATCAAAGCTAATCAGTTGGATAACCAATGGAACCACTTCGTAGATCACCATCACATCCCTTTTAATGTCCGCGTCGTCCCCGGCAGTCGTCTGTACTTGCAGATTCACGTCTTGGAGTATCCCACAGAAGCGATACTGCGCTCTCTTTCGATGGATGTCTTTGCTACTTGGCTGGTTGACCAAGAAGAAATGCGTCTGCTTCAGAAACGTCAAGCCAAGATGCGAGCAGATGAAGCGAAAGCAAAGGCAGCTGAGGAGGAACAAGCCAGGCTGGCGGCGGAGGCACAGAAGGCAGCCGAGGCGGAACAAGCTAGGCAGGCGGCAGAGGCGCAAAGGGCAGCTGAGGAGGAAAAAGCCAGGCAAGCAGCAGAGGCGCAGAAGGCGGCTGATGAGGAACTAGCCAGGCAAGCAGCAGAAGCGCAGAAGGCGGCTGATGAGGAACTAGCCAGGCAAGCAGCAGAAGCGCAGAAGGCGGCTGATGAAGAACTAGCCAGGAAAGCAGCAGAGGCGCAAAAGGCGGCTGATGACGAACAAGCCAGGCTAGCAGCAGAGGCGCAGAATGCGGCTGATGAACCGGATGCAAATGTGGGCAAACCCGCGGATGAAGAGATGCAGGAAAAGATTCGAAAAGCGCTCGAGCGTCTTCCAGCGGATCGCAAATGTCCTGCAGGATATGCCTGGGTCCAAAATTCGACCGGTTTCACGTGCGGGGGTGCACATAGCATTACTTGGGAGGAATTGGATGCACTGGCTGACTCGGGTGGCTTGGATGGCTCGGATGACGATGGTACAGAAGAACTTTGAGTGACAGATGCAAAGGCGGGAAAGAATGCAGAAGACATAGGAGCTTAGAAACTTTCATGGTGTCCACCTAGCCCTCCCTCCCCCCTCTGACTGCTGCTGGCGCCCAAACACTTATCTCTGTCGAATACTGTGTCAAGTGTAGTACGATAATAATGACAACATATGGTATATTCTAGAGGGATTAAGTGATCATCATGTAAAGAGTGAATGTGATCTGGTACGGGCACGATAAAATAACGCTTGCAGTCTCCTTTTCCCATGTTGTTGAGCTCCGTGTTTGAGTATCTCGCAAATTTTAAGTAAAGAGGCACAGATTGCAGAGCTGGTAGCACGAACTCGCCGTAGTCCTCCAGATCAGGCGCGTGACACTTTTCACAGGATCGGACTCGTCGAAGGGCAGGGTGTTTGGGGTGCATGGGCGACTATCTGTGAAGCTTTGAGGAGTACTATATATGTACCGATGTTGTGATAATTCTGGTCCAAAAACCACTGCTGGCAGAACTGGCGCCGAAAGAGAGTCGTTGGTAGTGATCTACGAACGCGTTCAATTGAAAAGGTATGATTCGTGAAGTATAACATTATGCACACCGTTAGGCACTCTAAACAGTATCACACCAGTCTCCGCGAGTAATCGAGCTTTGGAAGGCTCACAATGAAATCCTCTTTGCATTGAACATTCTTCCCAGCTACATCAAAGGAGGTGCTGAGTGGCTTGATTTGAGCCACATGATTATTCGCATAGGTCCTCTGAGAGTAGCCGTAGCCTAAGTGGGATACCCATGGTTGATGGATTCTGTTGGATTACCCAGATATGTCGAGGAAGGGCAGGTCGGGTAAATACTCTGTCCAGTGTGAGCCTAAACGGGAGGTTTGTGTTCTTCAGTGACAGAGTATACGCCTTCTGGAGCCACAAAATTGACATGAATCAAACATACGCAAACAAAGGCGGCTGTGCAGCGCTCTTACTACTGACTGGTTTTGTACTAGTAGTGAATGGACACTGTCCTTCCAATACGGTAACCAGTGAGTATTACTGCACCAGTGCTTGCACCCAACAACTTCTGTGAAAATTTGCTGATGAGCCTGGACCTGATTAATTTGATTAGCCCACCTCAGTCACATCAATACGATTCCAGCATGAACATCGATATAATAGACTCCAGTCCAGCCAATCGATAATGGACGCTTCATTTCCTATACCCTCAGACAATTCAGGTATGTACAATTCTTGGTACGTCCTGTGTATGGTATAATAGCAACAGGATCTTCCACCACTCATCACTCTTTCTGCCAAAGCAAATCCTGACCGGTTTTACGATTTGGGTGTTGCAAACATGAGTTTGACTATTGCAGTTCGTAATGTCCTTATCTCTCTTTCAATGATGTACCCGGCCACACTGATAATCCAACTTGTTGCATCCACTTGGATGGACATTATTAGCTCATGGCTGGTGATATGATTGCAATAGTTGAGTGCTACGGGAGTTTGACATGGAACGCGTGTATAGGGCTTCGCCAAGTTCGTTCCAAGTCATTCATCAGCGTTTAGCGTTTATTCGAAGTCACTCATCAGCATTCGTTCTAAACCGTGGTCCTCCACGTTTAGTTTAAGCTACTCATGGGCGTTCGTTCGACAGCACTCATTGGATACTGCCATAGATCCAAGGTTTCGAGTCAGCAACGCCCGCGTGCGTCCAGATTTTTTCTCGTGTTCTTTCGTGCTTCTTATCAGGTCGCCTCCTATTTCAGTGTGTTCCCATATTCTATGCGTTGCTGATAGTTTCCGTGTCGGGAAAGGAATCTGATGGATTGCGAGTCAATGATGACTGATTTGTACAAGTAGTAATTAATTAACGTAGTTAGCGGGGCTGTTTGGGCTGAAAACCCGACGGGTTTTATGACTCGAAAGGGTCCAGGGTGAGCCGTGAGGGCGGGTTGGGCCTCAGCAGCTTATGAAATAGAATTTTGGTGGAAAATCACTGCTGTCTGAAGGTGTTGCGTCGAGTATGTTCTTTTGGCGAGTGGCATTTGAATGAAAACTAGTTTTTTTTAGCGAGACGCTTGATGCTGCTGCAAAGGGAGTGGAGGGCGGGTGCGACGAAATGAGCTAGTGTAGTTGAGCAGAAGAGGACTTGCGAGTAGTAGGTAGTGGGTACGAAGCAAAGCTATGTCGCCGCGTAGACCCGATTCGATGTACGTTCTCGTTCCTTGAACTTACGTAGAATATAATCTCCGACACGAAAGTTAGCTTTGGAGATGCGGCGTAACAGGTCATTCTAAGCCTTTTCTTCTTATTTCGTATACAATCCAGCGCGCTGAGCTATATGAATCTCGGAAGTCATTTCACCTTTGAGTCTTTGACGCTGATCAGTGATGTGCTAAAACTTTCGCACTGCGGCACATCTATACCTGCCGCCGCAAAATCTCCATGAGATTCTGGCGCCAGTAGTAGTTGGACTTTGTATGTGACACGCGTTACTGCTTTGGAAGCATTTATTGAGTCTTCCCCCACGCGAAACTTGCGTCTCATCCACATGCGCAGCAGCCCACCACAGGGGACCATAGACACGTTTGTCATCCAAGTCCCAACTTTTTGTTGTCTCGTCTCTATGATTCGGTCAGATATATCAAGGTTGACGGCTATGATTCTTCCGGAGGCCGTGGGTCACATTCACGTTAATCGTGTCATTGCAGGCGCCCTGGCATCGGTCTGGACCATGATCCGACACTTGGCATCGTTGAGTTTGGCTTCAGGATTGCTTCAACATATCATATGAATCATAACGCCTGATATAAACGCTGAGAACTAAGGTCTTATCTTCGTGGGCAAGAAACGAGTCCGTTTGCCGGTACGACGAAGCGAACTGTTGACCAGCGCCAGACACAACCCCCGACGGGTGTTATTAATGGACATTTATTCCAATTTCTCGGACTCAATACCAACTTGGTGGCAGTTCGTAAATTAGATAGAATAAAATAAGATTTGAGTGGGGCAACCTCACCAAATGTATTCAACATCCGGTATCTCGATCCTCGGTGGTAAAACTCCTCCACTACCTATACACTCCGACCCTCACACAGCGGGAAAACTGATATTTTACCACCCAGTGAAATTACGTTCACAAGGGCATTCTGGAACGCTCTAGGCTATGTCCCAGGTCTAGATCTGCTTGACGCATGAGGTAAAATGTTGAAACCCCCGACGGGTGAGAAGGTCTTCGTGAGCGCTACAGTTGCTATTTTCGACACCTGTCAGACGGGAAGACGGGCCCAAGGCTAAGCCGAAATTGTTGAATTGGAATTGACTATACGTATCAGTGCAGTTACGATTATGCGGGAAGGAAGCATCAACATAGTGGTGATTAAATTAATTCTTGCCCTGCACGTACCCAAGGACTTCCAGATTAACTTACGCATATTGAGACGGTATAAAGAGGCGCAGAAAAGCACAAGACGCCCTGCAATCCATCTACCCATTGCAATCAACCTCTAGTACAATGCCATCGCAGCCCGCTCCAGTGTCGCAGGTGATTTCACGCGTCACGCAACTGCCAGACACATTTGAAGGTCTTCACGAATGCATCTCTGCATTTGCAGTTTTGCCCGACGCACGGCGTATGGTCACCAGTTCGAGGGCCCACAAGACACTTTATGTGTGGGACTTGACGACGAAGAAATTGTTGAAGCGTCTGGTAGGGCATTCCAGTGATGTGTTTGGACTTGCGGTATCACGAGACGGGAGAATGATAGCTAGCTGTGACGTCACTGGAGGGATTATTCCCTGGAACGGAGAAACCGGGGATTGCCTTATTCAAACCAAGAAAGGGACTACCACTACCCAAAACGGCTCCACTGCCGTCATCGCAGCCTACAAGTCCACTGTCGTCCTATCGCTGGACTTTTCCGTGGATGGTTCAATTCTGGCAAGTGCCGGCGACCATACAGTGAAGTTTTGGAACACAAGTACATGGGAGCAACAAGCTGCAATCACTCCAAGTCCTGATGCAGTCGTCTCCTGCGTCCGGTATTCGTCATCTGGCGAATATCTTGCCATCGCCACAGAGCAACTTCAAGACAATATCTTCATCTATAATCCAGAAACTATGCAGCGTATCAAAACGCTCAATGGTCACTTAAGCGGAACCTTCACGCTCACCTGGACCCTCCACGGAACATACCTTCTCTCAGGTGGCGGTAAAAGCGATTCTACCATTCGCGTGTGGGATGCGTTGAGGGGGAACGAGATCTGCTCCTTCCGTGGTCACACTGAACAAATCACCTCCATTTCTGTCAATGAGTCCAACACCATCATCACTTCCACATCTCGTGACAAAAGTACCCGCCTCTGGCCGTTCCCGATTCAATCCAACGTACTCAAGCTATCCGCCGGCGCGTTTTGTGACAGATTCTCCGTGGATGGTCACTATATATTCGGCGTCGGCGAAGACCAGAAGATATCACAGTGGCTACTACCCTCGATACAGGTGTTGGTATGTTCCCATCGATTCCTCATGATTTCGTCATCTCATCTCGCGGATTTTAGCCAAAAGCTTCAGCAGTACATATTACTAGAAAGGCACGTTCTCATTATTGACCTTCGTAACGCAATTCGAGCATGCCATAGATCAACATCACCGGAATCATGCCCAAGATCGCCCTCGATGCGTTCATCATCGGGAACTTGTCCCAGGCTATGGACATATTTACAGAAGCGATAACGGCAGATGCCAGCAACTACATCTACTATGTGTATCGCGCAACTGTTTATGTACGCCTAGGCAAGTGGGACGCCGCGCTTGAAGATGTGGATCAGGTGGGTCATGGCGACCAATACCGAACCCCCTCAAATATACTAACTTGGATGTCGTGACCTAGTCTATCGGCATTGAACGCTCAGCGTTAGGCCTCATGTTCAAGGGCATTGCTCTCTATGGAAAGACACTCGTCAAGGAAGCCAGTAGAGCATTTGATCGTGCGTTGCAGTTGGTAACCGGAGATTCAGCAACCCATCTTCTTTTCCTGATCAAGGTGGGTTATATTTTGCTTCCGTGCTCCGTGCTTCATTGTGATTTTACAGGCTATTGCAACATTCAACGCAAATGAACACGACGAAGCACTCGTGCATGTTAAAGACATGGCCGAGACTTATCACGATAGTGCTGCCGATTTCCTTGCTTGTAGTGTCGTGCAAGTGAGTGTCAATTCCGGTTCGTATTCTGAATCTGAGACTGATTTTTTCTGCGCTTCGCGTATCAGATATACTTCTACGCCGAAATGGCATTCACTGCTGCGCAGGGCAACATTCGCGACAAATCTATCGAGTACATCAATGCCGCTTTCAAGATCGCTACTGCTTGTTCACTTGAAAAAATGGACATGTCCGTGTACACAGAATTCGACGTGGTACGTTGATAAAATACAACTGACTCAAACGTAATATTTGTGCTCAACTGCGCTTTCTTTGCAGATTTTCGGGTGGAACGTCAAGTCATTGTGGCAAAAGATAAACAAGTACCGCTGTCTTATACTCCTTCGGACGTGTAACATCGAAGCACTCGAGTGCTACCGAACACTGATGGATTCATGCGACAAAGCTGAGAAAGACAGCTTAATTGCTTGGTTCGCCGGTGAGTTTTTTCAGTCATATCAACCATGCTGCCGTTCTCAACTATCTTTCACTCAGCTTACAAGGGTGTGAAATGTATGCCGTGTGGATCTCAGAAACAACTAGCTGCTGCTGCAACGACGAGCATGAACGCAGAAGTTGAAGTGAAACAAGCGAGCCTGGAAAAGGTTGTGGAAACAAAGGTTGTCGGAACTAAGGTTGTCGGAACAGAGGTTTTCGGAACAGAGGTTGTCGAAACAAAGGTTATCGAAACAAAGGTTGTCGAAACAGAGGTTGTTGAAACAAACGTAGAGAGGGAGAAAAAGGTGGGCAGCGCCGCGGATGAAAAGATGCAGGAAAAGATCAAACAAGCGATCGAACGTCTTCCAAAGGACCGCAAATGTGCTAACGGATATGCTTGGATCCAAACTTCGAATGGCTTCAAGTGCGCGGGGGGTGGACATAGCATTTCTTGGGAGGAATTGGAAAAATTGGGTGGCTCGGAGAACTAGGATGGCTGCCATTCACCTCTGTAGCGCTGCTATTTTTCCCGCTTGTTCCTGCCGAATATGTTTGCACTCACTTTTATGCTCTCTCCTAGTTGTGTCAATCAGTTGTCCTCCGAAATATACTCGTTTTGCCACTTCTTCCGTGACAAATTAACTTTACTTCTGTAAGGAATGACAGTTCGGACGGTCTTCGCTGTCAATGTGTGATAAACTGATAGCTTGGTTGCAGAAGGTGTACCACATGAGTTGGTTCCTGTAAGCCCGCTGGATCTCCTATGATCCCCATAGATGCTGTCCAAGATACCGAAGCACAAGATCTCAGTATCACTGCCTTTCGGCGTAACACTTGAGCTAATGACAGTCTCGACTTCTACTTACAGTTCTTCTCCGCCGAGTGCCGACAGAGCGACCCGAAGTTCGCAATGAAGTTCGCATGACCATATTTTCTGAAAAAACAGTCTGTCGATCTTTGAAAAAATGGTCGACCGTTTGTAAGCTAGCCCTTGCCATGGCGCAGCAATCTCGTAGGGAATCTGCTGATGCTGATCTGCCCCAACACAGGATGGACCTAAGTACACTGGAATTCCGTAGGCAAGACAGCAACTGCTACAGTCGAGCATCTCGAGCATCAACATCAAAAACCATGGGAAACACCTAACAATATCTAGGCATTTGAAGCGCTCAGAGAATCACAAAAAGGGCGGTGTAGCAACATTTATATGGCAAGTCTTCTAGGTCATGGTGATTGCATCATTCAGGCTGAGTATTTCCATGCGAAGATAGAGGATGGGATGGTTACCGTGCACCTCATCGCGTGAAGATGTGCTTTGCCATCCGCGCCATGTTGCGACATGTGACCGTTTTGGATTCGTATCTTTGGCATCCTGTGAAGGTGGAATAAGGATTCTAAAGCAATGATGTGTCTGTACGATGGCTATGCATGTGCGAGCATCCGACTATGATGCGACTTTGTAGTCTGCCCATGAATTTGCTGAGCATCGTGAAGGTCCGACAATGGTGTTCTTGGCTTATCTGATGGACCTCGCTTTTAGCTCACAAGCTTTACAAATTACTAGCTCCTGCTCAAGTCAGCACTGCAAAACATCACTGAAATACAATGGTCACTGACCGTGCCCGAGGCTGTATAATCAGAAATCGGGCTTTTTTTTGCCTGCCACAAGCTTCTCCGCCTCCCATGTGCGATGTTTCTTTCGACCTAGTATGTATTGCGTCTTATATTTAACAGGTATCAATCACACACCACGAGTCACGATGCATCCGTCAGTGCAATGAATCACCGTCGCATCAAGTGCATGATCAGATCCACCGAATAGAAGTGCGCTGTTGTGTTTCTTCTCTGACTTTTGCCATACCATGGAATGCAACGTTGTTACAGAAAGAAATCAGGGGAGCTAATAGCAAGTCTCAGGCTTCGCAAGCAAAGCTAAGAGAACATAGATGCTCATTGCGATCGCATCCCACTTATGCCTGTATGACCACATGGTTTCATATGGAACACCTCGAGAATGACATTGGAAATAAGTTTGCGATCAGTCGTAATACTGGTTTGTAAATCAAACTCTACTTTGATTATCTAGGGCTTCTTTTTGATCTTGAACCATTTCACCCAATCAAGGGTCTTAGGGTATCATGCTGATTTTGTCGATAGGAACGCCGAATGGTGGTATACCTAACACAAACGCTGTCGTTATACACCACTAACCTTTCCCACTCGCCCACACCCATCCCTCGAACATGACCTACGTCTCAAATGATCCCAGTTGGTGGCCGATGATGAATTCCGCTATGTTTATCAACTATTGGCAGAGTTTGTCGCATCAAGATGTCTAGACCTAACGTTGACTTGGAGTTTTTCAGTTGCCTCCGGCGTCGTGGTGGTATACGATTGGGGTGAGCACGACAGTGTTCGGAAATCGCTGATATTCTCATGATATTTCCAGTCTCAACACTCGGACAAGAGGTACGTAGATGTTCTTGCCGTAACAGCTAACTCGCTAAGAATGGTGCCATAGATTGAACTCATCTGGGTGAGTGACAAGAGTCCCGTATCAGAAGAAACCAAAGAGCATGCAATGAATTTGCGACAGAGACAAGACTATTCTCTCATGACTGTGCTGTATTCGATTGTTCGTACTCGTGTTGGGCTTTAGCGTGGTGGGCAACTTATGCTGACTCCAAAATGTTCTAGATACGCTATACTGGAATACTGAATTCTGTGTATGTGCCGAGACGAACAACTTTGCACTGTGCTAATAGCTCATCTCTGACAATTAGTGTCTATCTTTTGCGTACGTCTTATATGCGCTATATTTCATTTTCTGACGGCGAGACACAGAAAGTATGTCGTCGGTATTGCTGACAGATACAGTAAGTATTCTGCAACCATCTCATTCCCGTCCAATCAATACACTCATATGTAGGGGTGAGCGAGATTCCAACCATTGAACTTGGCTCAACATAATGACTCAATAGATGTAACTCGAAGTCTTTGATACTAGTGCGAGGGCGTTCACTAATTGGGAGTTTTAGGCAATGTCACGTACTATGCAATAAATGGGACAAATGTGGCCTCGACTGCCATGTTGGGCGGTAAGTGACCCAGGTGCAATACTTCAGTGATATTGACCCGACTGACACATAAGCAAGTGATCATGATTGTTCGGTTGCATGCCATGTATCAGGGATCTAGGACGATGCTTATGTTCCTTGTCATCGTCTTCCTGGCTGTAAACATCGCCTGCGGAGTAATCATGGCAATAGCACTCAGCGATACTGTAGGAGGTAAGCTTCACTTGTCGACTTGAAGAACACGGCTCATTGGACAAACACCAGAGGAGTTGATATTATCTGGCATATATTTCTGCGGTTATGCATATGGAGGGGGCGTGGAGGTTCTGCTTTCAATGATTTGGATGCTCAACACTGTTTGGGAGGTCCTCGCACTGTGTCTTTCGGTTTGGGTTGCTGCGAAACACTTCCGTGAGCTGCGACAACTCAGCTCATCAACAGGATCAACCATCGAAGACTGTTTCAGAGTTCTGATACAATCTCACGTTCTTTATTTTGCAAGGTGAGCTTGTATTATGAACGTGGTTATATTTTTATGCTCACGTTTCGCACATGTTAGCTTTGTTGGTGTCTCTTCCCTCCAGCTTGCTGAACGTTCTCCGGAAATCGCGGTGTGCCAACCTGTCGCCAATATCTGTGTGTAACCACTGCTCATCATTTCTGTTAGAATTCAAATTCTATTGGAGTTTCGATACTCGGTGGTACTCTTCGAGTTTTATCGGTCGTGCAAATGTTTGTGCTAGGACCACGCCTCATCCTTAGCGTTCGAGAATTCAATGCAAAACTCGTGGCATACTCCGATGCAGGAACTAGCATGGATCCGATTGTTTTCCAGGAGAATGTACATGTATCAACTAGCAGTACTGTGTAGGGAAATGCTTGCCGAGTGGTCTACAAGGAGGAGAAATTTGATTGAGGATCCGTCGTGGTACATAGAGTGTTTCGAAGTTGGTCTGGGCAAACCTATTTATTGGTGTATCCGAGTCACTACTGGATCGTAGCGGCGGTGACCCGCCAGTCCCCGACTCGGAGTCGTAACTTCTGGCGCGTATGTATCACATGGCTATCGTGGCTATCCAGTCTTGTTGCTTAAAACTACGGGTGTCCTAACCACGGACGTCGATGATATTCGGCGATGGCTTTTGACGAGCGTAAGACTTACAGTGAATCGCTCCCATATTGGTTGTGTATGTGAGGTGTATGAATTCAAGAAAAGGAAATAAGTTCACGCGCATATTTGCCCTCATCGCTGATGACCCTTCTCCTAGACCTCGTTCCACGAGGTCTACCTTCGATAGTCCTATATGGGAGCGTGAGTATCATGAGTCCTGGGGAGAACGCGCATCTGTGAAAGTGAACAAAATGTCTGTGGGCGTGGAACGCCAGAGAGAAGATGAAAGTGAGTACACGCTGCGGGGATGCCGATGTCCAAGATAATGCTGTAGGTTGCTACGAGAAAAGACTGTCCGAGATACCAAAGCACAAGATCTCAGTATCATTTGGCGTAACAGTTCTACGGAAACAATTCACGTGACTCTCATGTCCCGGTCGGTGTGCACAAATTGGCAGTCTTTCCGCACCCCAAAACATATTGTTGGTATTACACTCATCCAAGGTATACGTGCGTGCTAATGCACTACATCATTAAGTGTACATCTCCTATGCTACACCGAGGGCGTTTAGGAACGATCAATAACTGAGCGTCTCCATAATCCCATCCAAAATCCTAACCGCATCCGGCATATTAAACTTCTCAAACTGCAGCCCAGCCGGGACGCTATAAAATGACATCAAAACCCGAGGAGAAAGGATACGAAAACGACACTCACTCCCATCCTGTAATCCTCCTCACAGGCGCCTCCAACCTCAAGAAAGCCCTCTTCCCAACCTCCGCAGCGATTTCGCCTCCGACGCCGCCTGTCATACCGGCTTCGTGTACGATTACGAGCCTCTTCGTCCTGCGCACGCTCTCTACGACCGTTTCGACGTCCCATGGTAATATCGTTCGGAGATCGATGAGTTCGACTTTGGCGTTGCGAAGGGAGGGTGGAATGAGTGGCGCGAGTGAGGGTGGTGGGGAGTTGAGGAGGCGGAGGGCGGATTCGCAGTGGTAGACGGGGGTGCCCCATGTTAAAACTGTTAGATCGGATCCTGGGATGAGGATTTCGGCGCGAGAGAGGGGGAGGGAGAAGTCGTCGATTGGGACTTGTTCGACTGTGGGTGAAATTAACGATATGTGCAGGGAAGTGGTGAAGGGTAACGTACCTGTAGAACGATAGAGGATTTTAGGCTCCATGAATATGACTGGGTTGGGATCGCGTATGGCTGAGAGGAGGAGGCCTTTACATTGGATCGGGGAGCGGGGGATTACGACCTAGTGGTGCATGAGATCATTTAAAGATTTCGTCATGGAATCAGCAATGTGATGGGATAAAACATACCTTGAGACCAGATGCACCCATAAAGAAACCCTCAGGGCTTTGTGAATGGTATAGCCCACCATGACCAACAGCCATGGTCGGTGTCCGCACGGTTAACCCACCAATAGAGAAATGTCCACCCGAA